TATTCAGATATTCAAGAGAAGCCTCTAGAGTAAGTGTTTATACAGATTTAGAGTTCAAAAGAGAAATCTAAGTAAACAAACAAATTAGATGTTATTATTATGAGAGTGGTATCTCTGAATCTGAGGGAGCTGAGAAAATGCAAGGGGAGCTGAGAAAATGCAAGGGGAGCTGAGAAAATGCAAGAAGGAAGAGGTTACAGACAATATCAAATATGGCACAAAACCCAACATGATTGAGAAAAAAAATATTTAATCTGGCAGCTAACTAATCAGCATTTGCTTATTTGCCATTTAGCAAACAATAGAGCTTAAAAAAAGACAAATGAAAGAAAATCTCATTTTCACAATCAGTAGCAATTTTATAGGACTCACTTAAAAATTATATGGTTGTACATATTATATGATTCTCAACAGTTTAAGGAAAACTAGTAATGTTTAGATTTCAGCAAACTTTTACAAGACTGTTTAAGATTCAAATCTCAAATACCACTTGAGTATATATTTTCTCCCATAAAATGCAGTAAAATGATTTTTAGAACTTTGAGAGATCAAGAATGTTCATGAAATTATAGAAATAAAGGGTTTTTTTTTGTTGTTTCTGTTGAGATTTTATCACTTGAGAAAGTGAGTATGCCTGTGATGGCAAATGGAGAACAACAGAATTGGTTTGGGATGTGGATTCTGAGTCATTGGCACACATATGGGTCAAATGGCTCCTTCTCTTGCATCTGTTCATGTAACTCTAACCTAGGTCTTGGCAAAATTATAAACTACTCAAGCTCTAGAACTTCAGGTCACCCCCAAATAGTCAAAATTGTAAATATTAAATCCATAGGTGCTTGAAGTCTGTTACACGCTCAATCTTTTGATGATGTCCTGAGAGATAATGACTTAACTCACTAAATACTAGAATACTGTGCTGAATAAGCAGGGTGCTCAGAAAGATCCACATCAATACTGGAAATTCATCCCTAATTTAAACCTTCCTTGAGGGTGATGATTTTGTATGCAATACTTCTAATTGCTGATCTGATCTGGTCTTCAGTATGTGAAAAAACAATCCTAGGAAAAGTGTTTGGTGTTTCAAACTTAAAGTATTACAAGTTTTGAAGAAGTTTCAAGGCAAGTAAAGGAAACACACCTGAGTTTTGTTGGTGGAAAACATTTTATTTTCTCTCTCTCCCTCTTACACACACAGCCCTCTGGAGCCATAGGCCCTCCTCCCTTCCTGGTCTCACAGTAATTTTTCTTTGGCTCTTCCCCATTGTCAGTGACACAGCTGGAACTCACCAGTCTACACAGCTGGTGATTGTCTACAGGATGAAAATATGATGATATGGTGGTAGCAGCTGTAAATGAGGCTTCTGACAAATGAAGTTGTTCTTAGTGAGTACTTACCTGAAATTGAGTGATGTTACAAAATCATTGAAATAAAATCTGTTGGTCAGAAATGCAGTTCAGGTTTAGGCTTCATTGGCATTTAAGTTGACCTCAAACAATGTATGGGAAAGCAAAGAAAAAAATATCACTTTTCTCACGGAACACAAATGAAACTACCTTCCTTTAAGTGAATAGTGGAATAGCAGGTTATAAGATTGAGACTGTGGTTTATTTGTTACAACTCTTAAAACTCAATGCTACTGATTCTCACCGCAATAAAACTATCTTTATCCAAAAGGGAGGATTTATGGGATGGATTCTGGATGCCTCAGGCATTGAAGAAAGTTGCAGGAAAGAGGTAGTCCCGGGCCTTAATTAAGGATGAACTCAGAAAACCTGCACAACAAAAAAAGCCTCTCAAGCTTGGCCTCCTTTTCCTTCTTCTTTGGGGTTATTCTCTCAGCCATCACGCATAGTGGGAACTTAGCCATTAACTCTAGGGCCATATTTGTACAGTGCTGGAAACATAAAGGAGAAAAAAAAAAGAGGCTTCCCTGTTAGCTTCAGCCAGAACAATCCCAGGCTGGGAGTCTGCTTGGACTGGCTTTGCCCTTGGCCTCATCACGGTGGCCAGAGAGTGGAGGTGCTGTGTTCATCTCAGACTGAGCCTGAGCAGTGAGCCTAGGCAGTGTGATTATTCACTTACAGGAGGAAAGGGAGGCGTGTTGAGCAGGCAAAAGGGGGAAAAAAGGCCCCTGGAGACATTCCAAATATACCAAATGATAACTTGATTTTTGGCAATATGCTTATGTCACAATGTTAAATATTCATCTCACTCCCAAGTGCCCTGTGTCTTTCATAATCTAAATCTACAATTGGTAGCCCAATTGTTATTTTTTATTCAAAATTACAATCAACATTACTCGAGGCCTCCTCATAATTGCTTTATTTCTTTTTTATTTGTTCAGCCTCAGTACAGTTTAACATTTATTGCAGATACTGGGATTGGCTCACTCAGCATCTCTTCCAAGCGCTTTTCAGAATTTCTTGCACCACTGCAGAGCCTGGAAAGCAAATACTTTATTTTCCAGACTCCTTGCTCCTAGATTCTGGATGTGCTTTAGGTGGGAGACTTGAATTTGGAATTGAGTCCGGTAGGGAGAGAGGCAGCGCTTGAGGTATTCATTTTGTGGGGACAGATTGTGGTACACATGGTATGGTTCTGGAGCCAGCAATTGTGGCAGAGCCTGCTCAGTTTAGCAGATGGCTTCTGGATCATGGCAAGAGAAACAGTTTCACTGGTAGCCAAGGTCTGCATTGCAGTTTTGGGATATGTTTCTGGAAGCTCAGTCTAGTATATTTTTTAAGGCTTCCCAATGATTATGTAAGTTATGTAATAGCCTGCAGTAAATCCTTTTCTGATTAAATAGCTTGAGTGATTCTGTGCTCTGCCTTTGAACCCTGACACAACATAGAAATCAGTTTTTAAATGTCACTGACCTTTTTGATTGTGTTATTTTTCTTTTCCTTCTTTGTAATTGCATGGATACAAAACACGAAATGAGGTTGGCATTATATGTTGCTTTTGATGAGCAGGTGAATTAGGTGATCACAGTTGCTAACTGATGCTTGGTTAATTAGACCCATAGGAAACACCTGCTGTGGTTCAACAAGCTGAGGCTGGAGGTCTTCCATTGGCCCCTACAGGTCCACTCCTCACCCTTCTCTCACCCATATCCTGCTCTGTGCCCTGGGACTGCCTAGCAGGAATGGTTTTCTGTGCCCCCTGGCTTTGCCCATGGGGAGACTTGATTTATGCTGGTTGTCCGCTCATCCAACCCCAAGTCTTTAGGTTACCATTCACTTTACCTTTCAAAAGTGTCCTAATTGATGTAATCCTCCTTTCCGCTTAGAGTCTGTACTCTCTAAACAATGAACACTTATTAATTCCTTACTATACAGTTCCTTTCTTTTGCCAACTGAGAATTTATAGTCCAAAACTCACAAGCAGAATGGCCACTCTGGTGCTGTAGCAGTCTGCCTTTGACTCTGGAGTTTGGTGAGGTCTGGGGTCTTATCTCACAACTACAAAAAAATTAGGCACACAGACACGGAGGGTGAGTAGGGCAGAGTAAAATTTATTAAGGAAAAGGAAAGCTCTCAGTGAAGAGAGGAGTCCTGAAAGCAGGTTGCCAGTAAGATGTCTGTGTTCTGTGTCTTTTATGTGGCAGAAGCCAGGAAGTCTTCTGTGGGTTTTGCCCAGATGGGAGGGATAAAATTCCCTCCTGGGGTACTACATCTATGCGTGCCTAAGGTTGACCAAAATGACTCCAACTGGTTATCATCCCTGAATGCCTAAGTGAAACCCATGGTGGGGGGTGCCTAAAACCACAATGCTAATATTATGTTAATGGCATCATAGTGAGCTCCGTCAAATTTAGGACATTTAGGTTGATTTATTGCACCTGTGCGTAAGTTGAGACAGTCCCTGCTGAGCAACATCCTGGCATAAGGGCAAGGTCTTAACCACATTTCTTCCTGTTAGCTGCAGAGGCGGAGTAGGTGCTGCCCTGCAGTTGTTCCTCTGAACATTGTTCCTTTCTGTCCCTTCTCCCGAGACCCTCCCTCTCTATCTGCCTATCCAGCCCCTAACTCCTCTCTCAGTGTTTTCCCTCCAGTACCTACACATATTTTAATTTCCAAGTGTGCAATTTTCACGTTTATAATTTGTTAAGAAAGAATGCAAGGGAATGATTCAGATAGTTGTCAACTAACTGCAGCTGAGTCCAGACTCTGTCTACCTTTCTTCCCTCTTCTATATGCATCATTTCCAATAGTCCTTCTAGGATCCAGAACTGATACTGATGCTACCCAGTTTTGAGTGCTGGCCCTTTGAGGTTTAGTGATTCTCCCACATTTCTGGTTAACGTGTGGAAAATCTGCTTTGCTCCTAGTACAACAGTGATAAAATAATTTTTCTTCCCCCAAATTCCCAAAAGTAGCTTATACTTGCCCTGAAGTTTATGCTATATCTCGATCTCTATCTTTCCATGTATCCATCCATCCATCCATCCATCCATCCATCCATCCGTCTATCCACACATACATATATGTGTCTATTTACCTCTCAAGATTTACAGTATCAGAATTTTTCAGTGTGTGGCTCAGGAATCTTTTTTTTTGTTGTTGTTAAGCAAGTTTCTTAAGTTGTTCTGATGTATTTTTTTGCTTCAATTTACTTATTGCATCTATAAATAAATTACTGCTTACAAAAACAGGAAAGAAAAAAAAAAGAATTAAAAACACCTTAATGACTGGGCGTGCCTGTAATCCCAGCACTTTGGGAGGCTGAGGCAGGCGGATAATTTGAGGTCAGGAGCTCAAGACCAGCCTGACCAACATGAAGAAATCCCATCTCTACTAAAAATACAAAATTAACCAGGCATGGTGGCACATGCCTGTATTCCCAGCTACTCCGGAGGCTGAGGCAGGAGAATCGCTTGAACACGGGAGGCAGAGGTTGCAGTGAGCCGAGATCACACCATTGCACTCTAGCCTGGGCAACAAGAGCGAAACCCTATCTCAAACAAACAAGCAAACAAACAAACAAACCCACCACCTTAATAGTTTGGGTGTTTTATTTAGCAGTGCATTTACAAAGATCAAATGAGTGATATAAACTTTGAGTTTTCTATTTTCATCTTTTAGAATGGGAACAGTCAGAATGCTAAACTCACACAGATTTTATAAAAGTTTAGCCATCTACCACCAGGATTGGAAAACCAAGGAAAAAACCAAATCTAACACAATGCTACAGAAACAAAAAAGCCCAGAATTCTTGCTAATTTAACTGAAGTTGAATTTTGACATCTTTGGCTGATCCAACCACTCAGTCTTGGTCTCTTTCCCTTCTCTTAGTCCTGCTGGATTGGGAGTTAGGTAATAAAAATGAGCCAAAGATTCTCAAACTTCTGCAGAGGTAGAGATGGGCTGGTCTTGCTGTCAGAGCTGGTTAGTACTTTGGGTCTTTCTAGAATATTTGGTGCTAGGCCCGGATAACTCAGCTATATCTGTAGTGCTTCTCTGTGGCTCTCAGGCCTTCTCAGGTCTTGCTCAGACCCCTAGTCCCAAGGACGCCTTTTCCTTTGTCTTTCTGTTAAAAGTCTCTTCGACTTTGGGCTTCCATTGGGCCTATACTATTTTCTCCAGACTGTAAAGGCTCTTTCTACCTTTAATCATCTTCTTCACCGATATTCGAATCCAGTTATCGGGCCTTGGTCTCTTTGTTGGTCAGGATGTTGGCTGCCTTCTTTCTCCTGAATTTGGCATCACTTCTTCTGGTGAGCAGAAGCTAATTCATTTTTCCATCAGGGAAAGTTTCAGCCATCATTAATTTCTCATGAATATCTCCTTATTTGGGAGATATTCCTATTTTCAGCTCATTGAAGAACGAAATCTTTCTAATCTCTAGAATCTAGTCACTTCTGTAATTTCTTCCCAATTATCCAGCCACCAGTTATTTTCTTGATATATGTCTCCTTCCCTGCCTCAAGAACACAGACTATGCAAATCCTAAGATTATAATAATAGAAATACTTTCAATGTGCAGTAACATTAATGTGGCAGATGTAATCTAAGTTGCCTCCATGATCCTTGCCTCCTGGTATTCATTCTCTTGCATAATTTCCTTTCTTTGAGTGTGAGAGAAACCTGTGACTTGCTTCTAACCCATAGGATATGGCAAGGAACTAGTCATATCTTAGAGAAGCGTCCAGACAATAATCAGCAAAACACTGAGGTTCTCAATCCGATGGTCAATAAGGAACTGAATGCTGGAACAATTATGTGAGCTTAGAAGCAGATCCTTCCCTTCTGCTGGGCCTCAGATGAGACGGCAGCTCCAGTCATCACCTTGATTGCAGCCCACAGAAACTCCCAACCGACAGAAACTGTGAGTTAATAAATGTGTTGTTTTAAGTTGATATGTCATATTATTGATATACAATAATAGATAACTAATACAATTAACAATAAGAGACACTGTTTCCTCCAAGGGAAGGAAATGGGCCATTTTCTTAGACAAGATAGTAAAAGGTGATGAGGAAAACTTCCTAAACAAATACCATAACAGTTGGATTCACTAAAAAAAATTATCACATGAGAACACATATTTGAAATGAATTATCTCTTTATGGCTTGATCTGTAATGCTATCTTTTAGAATTTCTTTTAGCTGGAGATAACAGAAGGCTGACTACAGTTTGTTAAACAAGTAAGGTAAGGTGTTTATTTTCCTCATGTATGAAGATGCCTTATGCAGGCAGTCCAGGGCTTGTGAGGCAGTGCCAAGATGTCAGTGGGGATGGGGTTCCTTCTGTCTTCCTATTCTAGCATTCTTAGTGAGTGGATTTCATCCTCATGGTTGTAAGATGCCTGTTCCATCTCCAGGTATCTGTGTTACAGGACAGTGAGTGAAGAACAAAGGTGGATTTCAGCTGATTCTCTACTTTTAAAAAAAGGCTTTTCTGGATATTTCTATGAAGAAACTTCTACCTACATCTGAATGGATAAGACAAAATAATAACACAGTCACCTGAAATGGAGTATGTAGGGGAGGCTGGGTATTTTATCTAGGTATTTTGCTGAGGTATGCATAAACAAATCAGCATCTGTTAGTAAAGAAGAAAAGGTGAGAGGATTTTGGGTGGGCTACTAGGAGTGTCTGCCACCACAGTCATGTAGTTAAATGAGAGTCTCTGCTTGGAAAAACAAAACTTACAGAATAACCCTTGGAGCCAAACAAGTCCAGATGAGTGATCAAAACTTGTTTTTAGCATAGAGGTCATTTTTTTTTTTTTTTTTTTTTTTTTTTGAGATGGAGCCTTGCTCTGTCGCCAGGCTGGAGTGCAGTGGCACAATCTTGGTTCACTGCAACGTCCGCCTCCTGGGTTCAAGCAATTCCCCTGCTTCAGCCTCCCAAGCAGCTGGGACTACAGGCACGCACCACCACGCCAGGCTAATTTTCTGTATTTTAGTAGAGATGAGGTTTCACCATGTTGGCCAGGGTGGTCTCGAGCTCCTGACCTCATGATCTGTCTGCCTTGGCCTCCCAAAGTGCTGGGATTACAGGTGTGAGCCACTGTTCCTGGCCTAGAGGTCTTTTTAATTATTTCCCTAAACCTGCCTATAAGACTACTCTTAAAATTTTACAAAGGCTTAGATTATCTTGCATTTTAAAATGTTTATGCCTAAACTGTTGCCCTTCTCTTCAATTTGATAACTAGTATTTCTTTATCTCAAAGGGCCTCTAAACACTTGATTTATTCATTCTTTAGATAGCTTTGTAAATAAAACCAAGGGTTCCTCCTATGGTCTAGACAGCTTCTTAAGGACAGATAAAGTCAGCATTTCTAAGCACCAGGGTAGCCAAGGGAGTGTTGTAGATTTATAGGGGTAAGATATTGTCTCTTTCTTCCACTTCCCACCACTTAGTTCAAACCCATAATTTTAATTGAGATAAGGAGAAGTGTCTCTTAGGAAGAGTTGGGAAAGGAAAAAAAAAGAAAAGCTGTGGTGACCTGAAGACCATTTGAGTCATTTCTTCCGTAATTACAATCTAATTTTCCAATAAATTGCAAGCATTCCTAGAACCACAGACTTCACTTAAGCCAAACTCTGTCAATTTCACACTGCCATGTATGGATGAGCATAAATGAGTTTCTCTTTTCAGGCCCCAATTGTGTATACTTTACAGAACTTCATCGAGAAAGTTATTCGTTTCTTTCCTTTTCTCCTCTGTATCATAGCTCATTTAATTTCAATATAATAAAATCCACTAACCCTCTAGAAACTAAGGTTTAAAAAAGTTATTTTTCCCATGTTTAGTTATTGCATACTATTTAGATATTCATCATAGCTAAGGCAAGACCACTATTTAGTAGCATAACACCATGGTCCTTCAAAAAATAACCATAAAGAAATCTACCTATTTTTCATCCCAATATTTTTATCGTTCCTTTAGGCATATGCAAAGATCATGTTCACTCCTGGCTGGATAATTCATTCTTTCTTCGTGAAACAGCTGTGGCAGAGGGAGCCATAAATAAAATAAAGCCTCCTAAACGAAGGTTTGCTTTAGTGTGTTCAGATTGACACATCTAGTAAATTCTATCTAGTAAATTCTGATATTTCAAATGACTCACCATAACAGGTATAGATCTGGATTTTTAAAAAATTGACATGATTTATCGACACATCTGTGGGTTTTCTTTGAAATAGTAGAGATTTACTGATTGTGACATTTTGCATTTTAAAGAAATTTCATTGCTTTCTCTTGTGTTATAGGTAATTTTTATATAACTGAATCGTGATTCTCCAGTAAATGGACAAGAAACATAAACATATAATTCTCAAAAGAGAAAACACAAAGCAAAAACAGCGAATTAATATATGTTCAGTGCATGTGTTCAGTCTCATTAGTGATGAAAGAAATACAAATTTAAGAAATATGTCATGGTGACTTACCTCCTTGTTGACACGAGCAAAGGAAAAAGCAACAGGAATAGAGAAGACTGGCTAGAGAGCAGTGAGATGGGCCCTGTCACCTACTGAGGAAGGACGGAGATGGTGGATTCCCTGGGTTCTGTAAGGCTACAAGAACTGGAAACATGCTCAGGTTACCTTAGGCAGCAGTATCTTGTGAAATAAATGCCTGAGGGAGGGAAAATTGGAAACATGTGATCAGTCCTCGTGGCACCTAGAATGTTCTTCAGGATCCACAGTTCTAGAAGTTCAAGGGCAGCTACGGTCACTCAACTTGCTTGAGTTGTTCCTACAGAGTCTGGCATACATTTCTCCCTCCCATAGTCGTCTGTCATATGGTAATACAGTACTCTCTCTGAAGACTGACTCCAACTGGCTAAATAAAAAAGGAGAGCATTGGTCCTCTTGAATGGAAAGTCTAAGGACAGGGTTTGCTCAGGACAGCTGGAGCTGAGGGCTTTAGTGGAGGTATTCTCTGTTTCCATCAGCCCTGCTGTCCTTTGAACTGGCTTCGCTTTAAGCCAGGCTTTTTCCATATGGCCCCTGGTACGTCACTTCACATCTCTAATCCTGTTTCCTCATTCTAGAAAAATGGAGCTACTAGCCACCTGCATAAGTACAATGTGAGGATTCCATGAGATAGATGATATGTAAATGCTTTCAAGCTGCCACATTTCAGAGGACTTTATTATTTGATATGAGCTCAGTGGCCTGCTTCGGAACAGTCTTTAACATGGCATCTACACCATCTTCCCTGTTTCTGATTATTAATGAGATGGTATTGCTGTTGTTAAGCAGGCCTGCTCTGCAACTTGGCACGGGGGGGAAAAAGTCATCCTCTTTATCAAGAATATCAAGAATGAGCGGCATTATTATTCTTTTTTAAATTGGCATTTTAAAAAATTAAGTTCTAAGGCCCTGGGAGCCTACGGAAGAGTCTCAAGGACCACACTGTGTGTGGAGGGGCCGGGTAGCAGTGGGCAAGGCTGACTGGGTGGAGCTGCCCTGTTTAATAAGAGCAGGCCTGCTTTTGTCTGTTTTCTACACCATGATTCTGGATGAGATTTTACATCAAAAAGGAGAGTGGTAATATGATTAAAATAGGAGCACCTTTGGCAGCAAAACAGAAGAAATGAGCCAAATGCTGACATTAATTGACTAAAAGCTAATGAAAGCAGAACTGAATCAATCAATTACAGCAAAATTGAACATCACTTGACAATATCTAGAATTCAATATTTTTTAAGTAGATCAGTAATAGCTCAAAGTGGTATGTATGTCATTGGTCTAGGCCTGAGGAGGACCTCTATCATTCCTCTGGCTCACCTCTGAGACTAAGGACACTGAGAAGCCTCTGCAATGGATGGGCTCAACCGGCCAACCAGCCCTCATACACTATATGGTACACAATATTATTACTGTTTACCAACCCCTCCTTGTTCTGGCCAATGCAATGTGAGTAGAAGTAGTGTGTATTTTCTCTTTGACTCTGAGCAAATTGCCTACCTGTCTCATTTTTCTCATCTATAAAGCATAATACCTACATTACAAGGTTGCTGAAAAGATCAAATTATAAACACACACATGCACGTACAGCTAGCATTTAGCAGTATCTAACAGTTGGTAGGGAATCAATAAACCTAGGTAATCTTTCTCTCTGTTTCCCTCCTTCTAACTATTTCTAAGTTTGGTAATTTGCTGTTTTGATCTCACAGGCTCTAGAACTAGGACTCCTTAAAGTCCTTACTCCAAGGTCTGCCTCCTCTACATCCCTGCTAGGGCTTTGAAACTAGAAGTGAATGCTGCCAAATCCTCTGGCTCATCGCTCTTTGTAGTGCACTTCAACTCTGAAGACACAATTATGGCCAGAGTGACAGGCTAAAGTCTGAGTCAGGGTGAGCTTTTGGGGAAACAGCGTGGAGCGGGTGGCGGTCTCAGCTCTCTTCTTGCCCACACTTTAACTGCTTTCTGCCCACATCCATTCAGGGCATTGTCCTGTTTGTCTCCTCAGCTGTCTTCTGTATTAACCTCCAGCCTGTTGGGTGCATTCACTTCTGCCAGCTGGACTTTCAATATGTATTTAAAAAGACAAACAAACAAACAAAAAACTTTACTAGAAGCAAAAGGAAAACCATCATATTCAAAAATATAAATACAAAAGCAAAGAAATGTACACATCTACTGGACAAAGAGGTCTCATCTTGAGTAAACTGGTAGCACTCAGAGATGTCTGGAGGTCTTGGAGGCTACATGCTATCCATTAATACCTCCTGTCAAATTCTGAACATGCAGAAATTACCAGATCTCAAAGTCCTCATTTCTTGTTGAATTTTAGTGAAAAAACTTCCCTGGATCCCACCGTAGTTGAGTCTTGGAACAGGGTGTTAATCTTTATATTATAAAATGTGCTTGACTAGAGAGAATAGGCAGTACGAAACATTATAGTTTTCAAACGGAAACATAATATCGAAAAAAATAAAGAGAAATACTGTTCCAGTGACTTGGAATCCCAAGTTCTCAAAGGGAAGGCCAATAAAGAAGTGGGAGGAGAAAGTCTGAGAACCGCATGAAAAGGGTCCTGTTACCACTGGGGCCATGGTCCACTCACCAAATTGTCAGAGACGTTTGAACCAGAGCAACTCCATCTTGAATAGGAGCTGGGTAAAATAAGGCTGAGACCTACTGGGCTACACTCCTAGGAAGTTAGACATTCTAAGTCACAGAATGAGATAGAAGGTAGACACAAGGCACAGGTCATAAAGACCTTGCTGATAAAACAGGCTGCAATAAGGAAGCCGGCCAAAACCCACCAAAACCAGGATGGCAATGAGAGTGACCTCTGGTCCTCACTGCTACACTCTCACGAGCTCCATAACAGTTTACAAATGCCATTGTAACCCTCTATGGTCTAAAAAGGGGAGGCATGAATAATTCCCCCCGTTCAGCATACAATCAAGAAATAACCCTAAAAACGGACAACCAACAGCCCTTGGGGGTGCTCTTCCTATGAGTAGCCATTCTTTTATTCCTTTAGTTTCTTAATTACTTGCTTTCACTTTACTCCATGGACTCCCCTCAAATTCTTTATTGCGCAAAATCCAAGAACCCACTCTTGGGGTCTGGATCAGGACCCCTTTTCAGTAATAAACTTGTAGCATTTGGTGTTTTAATGTTTGTGTTTTCTTGATTGTTACGTCATTTAGCCTCAACTGTTTAAAGATGGTCTTTTTGGCCACTTTATTCAGCTTTAATTGTTCTAAGGGGAGTGAAGAAATGGTCATTTACTTTGAAAAATCAGAGGGAACGTGTTGATGCTGGAAGCAGCTAATCCTTGGGGTACAGTGGCCCTTGGTAGTGCAGGAAAGTCCTGGGGGCCACCTATAACCCACCCTTCTCCTCTACAGCATCTCCCACTGTAGTCATTCTCCACCGAAGCCCCAGAGGATGCAGCACTTTGCCACAACACAGTACTTCTGGGTTTGTGTTTCCTTCTGAGGCGGGCCAAGAGCTCTCAGCCCATTGGCAGGGGCGAGATGACGGCCACCCAGCGAGTCCAATGGGCGTCGAGCGCGTCTAGGCTTAGTGGACTTGTCAGCGCCTGCCTGCCCTAAATCCGCAGCTTGAGCACTGGGTCTTTCCTGCATTCGCCTAAACCTGGCAACGCTGAACAACGAAAAACAAAAAAACAAAGCAAAAAAAACCCAAAAAACAAAAAACAAAGGCAAAACCAAAAAACATCTTAAAACACACCACACACACACACACACACACACACCCGCGTTAAGAAAGGCGTGCACTTCGCACGCCTGATACCGTGCAGCGCTCATTTACCAATTCCCTTCCTGGGAGCTGCAAACTCCCTCGCTCGGCCCCACTCCGTTTTACCCTTTCCCCAGCTCCCGCCTTAGCCAGGGGCTTCCCCGCCTGCAGCTAGAGTTCGGGCCAAAGCGCCTCTCCGCGCCCGCCTGCCGCTCCCCGGGCTCCACTTTCACTTTCGGTCCCGGGGCTGCTAGGCCGGCGGCGGCGGTGGTGGTGGCGGCGGCGGCGCAAGGGTGAGGGCGGCCCCAGACCCCCAGGTACAACGCGCCCGAGCCGCGGGGAGGGGACTGCGGGCCGGGAGGAGAGCGCAGCACCCGTCCCTTCCTTGCGCCAGCTGGGAGGGCCTGAGGGCTTGGGGCACGGGTTGAGAGAGACTGGGCGCGGGAGGAGGGAGACGGGGCGCGAGACAGGGCGCGGGAAGGGCGGGGGAGTCGCTGGTTAGGCCCGAGTCCGCGGAGTACCCGGCAGGTCGGCGGCGGGCCCACCCCTGCGGGTCCCTGTCCCTGTCCCTCCGGGCGCGTGGCCGGCGCGCCTGCTCCGCTGGTCTCTCTGCTATTCCGCCGGCGGGAGCCTCCCTCCGCGGTCCGCGTAGCGCCTGGATGCCTGCCAGTCCTCCAGGCCACCGACGCCCGCGCGAGGCCAAAAGGCGGGGTGGGGCGGGCGGCTGGCTCAGGCTGAGGAGGGCACCTGTCCATAGCTGCCAGAGAAACCCAGAGGCTTTGGGTTAACGACTCTGGTGGGGTGGGAAGCGCGGGCCGTGTGTGTCCATAAGGTCACTTCCCTCCCTGCTTCTCCCGTTCTTCTGGTCGGCAATTCTCTCTCTCCCTTTGGCTCTGACTGGGTTTTATTCAGATAAAGCACCTCTGTTGACGCAAATTAAAAGTTTCCTATCTGGGTGCGTCACTGGCCAGGTGGGCCTACAAAGTTAATTCCGTGAGGGGAAGGGGAAGAGCACACACTTCCTCACGCTTTTGGATTTCTTTGTGTAAGCTAGGTTCGGGAAGAAATTATCTGTTTCCTATTAAACACCCAGAGTATGCGCTTGACATGGTCAACAATTAACAAAACAAAACAAAAAACTTGAAAATTGGGCACAGTTGTCTCTTCCCTGAGGATTTGGAATTAGTATAAGTAGCACATTTTCAGGTGGTATCTGAAGAGAAATATTCTAGTACTTTTTTTTTTTTTTTTCAAATTCAGCATTTTATTATTTACCTACAGTGCTTGTTAATTTCATTGTTCAGGAAATTCTGGAAGAATCTCAATTACTTCTTGATGATCTATTTCATATAGTATAGTGCCCCAATAAAAGGAGGGGAGGCAGAGGTTGCAGTGAGTCAAGATCGCGCCACTGCACTCCAGCCTGGGAGACAGAGCGAGACTCCGTCTCAAAAAAAAAAAAAAAAAAAAAAAAAAAAAAAAAAAAAAAAAGGATCTTGGTAAAGCTAAAACAGCAGGGAGTTTATACTTACTGCATTCCAACATTCCAACTTGTTGGACTGCATTCCAACAAGTTGTGTGAACTTAGCAAAGTTATATGAATGTCTTTGCTTCAGTTACCCCACCTTGAATGAGAATAATAGGCTATTAGAGAGAGTAAGCATGTGTAAAGTGCCTGGCGCTTTGGAAGAGCTTAGTAAATACTAGTTCTTTTTCCTCTTTGGCTTCTATTCCTTTAAGTGTTAGTGGGGTGTAACTTCAAAGAGAATTGTACTTCTCTTGGGAAGTGCTGCTTATATTGAGTAGACTACTGTTTTTGAGAGCTTTCTTTTTTTTAACTGCATCCCTTTCAGAAAGTTGTTAGTAAAACCAGACCCTAGGAGACCAGCCAGAACCATGAAATGCCATGTTTCAAATTGGAACACTTACTATTGGAAGCAAAGCCAAACAAGAGCTAATTTTTCAGGGGAAGAGCCAAACACAGGAACATGATCACAGAATCTTGGGTGTCGTCTACTGTTTGGGATTAATAAGATAATTTATCAGTGAAGCCCTTTATTTACTACATGGAGTTTTTACCAAGCCCCACTCATGCACTGCTTCCTCCTTGAGACATAACTGTTTCTCTTTGGCCCCCTCATGGACCCAACCCTGCAAAGCCTCTGATACAAGGTCCCAGTACCAACCTCTTCCGCAGCCCATCAGCCTTTCTGTCAGCTCATAACCAGCTGGAATTTCTAGATCTCCTCTGGGGCTGTTGGAGAGGTCTCCGGGACTTCCAGAGTCCTTACATGCTTGAACCTGCCACCTTCACAGAGCCCTCTGGATCCCATCTTGGGGCAAGGGCAGTGCTCATTAAGCTGTTGCTGCCAGCCGTATGGAAAGCAGAACACAAGTTCCATTTACTGTCTAGTTCCTCAACTTCTAGGGAAAAAAAAAAATGTTCTCCCTGTTCACACTTCCTGTCTCACCTGGGTGGTGCCTTTTGAACTGGGATTATGAGATTTCCAAGACTCTCTCTACTGTGTAGGTATCCTCTCTGTTTAGCCTCCAGATTGCTCCAGAGGTGAGGAGAAGGGAATTCCCTTGAGCTGTGCATTTGGAAAGGGTGCAAGGAAGTGAGGGGTTAGGGGAGGCACTTCAGTCATTGCCTTGAATGAGTATCCCATCACATAGAGTTGAAGGGGAAAAGCCAGGGTTTGGCAGGGATGAGCTTTTCAATCTTGGCTTCTCAGTAAAATCTCTGGACAGTTAAAAAAAAAAACAAAAACCCAAAACGAGTAATCAAACAATCCATAAAACCATACCCTGATCCTATCACCATAGATTCCAGTTTAATTGTTGTCAGTAAGGACCCAGGCATTGAAAACTTTAAAAGCTTCCTAGGTTACATTAATATACAGCCAGAGTTGAGAAACTTGACATCTCAGAGAGGGAGAATTCCGTGTACTGTGAACACTCTGAGGGATCCACATTGTAAGGTTGCTACTTTTCCCAACTGGAGCAAGAGGAGTTTGGGCCAATCACTTGCATTCAGCTGGTATGGGCCCCTCTTGGCAAACACTCATTAGAAAGGTGTGTTTGTGTAAGAGAAATAAAAACTTATGTTTGATTCTTGGGGTATGGATTGCCAACTCCCTTAAAATTCACATTGCCTTTTTTTTTTTTTTTAGACAGAGTCTTGCTCTGTTGCCAGGCTGGAGTGCAGTGGCACAATCTCGGCTCACTGCAAGTCTGCCTCCTGGGTTCAAGTGATTCTCCTGCCTCAGCCTCCCAAGTAGCTGGGACTACAGGTGCACGCCACCACACCTAGCTAATTTTTGTATTTTTAGTAGAGATGGGATTTCACCATGTTGGCCGGGATGGTCTCGATCTCTTGACTTTGTGATCTGCCCACCTTGTCCTTCCAAAGTGTTGGGATTACAGGCGTGAGCCACCACGCCCAGCCTAATATTCACATTGCTTATATGTCTGATGGCCTTTAAAATTAAGTGCAAAATAGGGTCTGCAGCATGACTTCCACGTGTTCTTGGCAGAATCTTGGAATTACTCCTCTCCCCGCCTTTATATAACCATTCTCCATCAAGTCCTCTGGGAGTTCCCTTCTGTCCACATCGATTGCCTGACCTGCCTATATGTCCTCCGTTTGTGCCTTAGCTCTCCTGCCCTGGTTTGCTCTACCTGTGGTGCTGTTAATGCTCTCCTTCATTTCAAAATCTGACCTATCCTTTCACAGTCAAATGCTGCTTTTGTGTGAAGGCATCCCAAGGAGTCACTGCAGCCAGAGTCTCTCTCTTTGGAAATTTAATTTCATTCTTTCCAACACCTTTTATTATTATTTTAAAAATATCTCACACTTTCCACATTGTGTTTTATTATCTGTGCGTGTTTTCTCTCCTTCCATATTTTGAAATCCTTGAGGGTGGGGCCGGTGTCTTGTGTATTGTTTCGTCCCACTCAGGACTCAGCACACTGCTTGTGTGTAGCAGGCATTCAACACATACTTGGATGATTGTAAGAGAGATTCTAGGTGATTGATAACGTTTGCCACAAACTACTGGGAAAATTAAACTCTTTAAGCTCTTCCTGGCTAAATAAATATGTAATTAACTTTTGGCATGACAATTCGAGGAAGACACTGAAGTTATTAAAGGTTACTGCTACATGTACTCGCAGGGGCAGTGGAGACCTTGTTTTAGTGTTGGCTGCCGCAGTGTCACCATTTGATTTCCAGGGCATTACGGTGGCTTTCTCCAATGTCCAGTGTCAATGGGGAGTGGTAGCTTGATCAGATGTTCCTCTAATATGGTTCCAGTTTTGCTTGTTTCATGAACCTGGCTTCCCAAATGTCCTGCAACTCTGTGACCCATTTAGTGAGCCACTCACGATCCCCTAATGATTCCTTTTCTGCCTACATCAGCCAGAGCTTGTTCAGTTGCTTTCAACCAAGAACCCTGACAGGTTGAATTAATTTAAACTTTGAACATCAAATGATGCTCTCTAGTAGATGTTAATGATTGTTGCTAACGATAAACATCTGTCTTATATGCAACCATAACATAGGGAAGGTCCTTTTACTTTGAGGAAAAGAACTAGTGCTTTTGGAATTTTATGTCTATTTCTGTGAATGCTGGGTGGATACATTCTGAAATTTTGCTATGTCAATAACATTTTAATGACATATATTTTTGCTTTTGTACATTTGTGCCACTAGGTAGTTAGAGCAAGAAGATGGTGTTTCCGTCCCTCAAACGGTCCCTTGCAACCATGTCATTTCTACTTTCCTCACTGTTGGCTCTCTTAACTGTGTCCACTCCTTCATGGTGTCAGATCAGTGAAGCATCTCCAAAAGGTAGTAATGGGATGCCATTTCCTTGGAATAAAATACGACTTCCTGAGTATGTCATCCCAGTTCATTATGATCTCCTGATCCATGCAAACCTTACCACGCTGACCTTCGGGGGAACCACGGAAGTAGAAATAACAGCCAGTCAGCCCACCAGAACCATCATCCTGCATAGTCACCACCTGCAGATATCTAGGGCCACCCTCAGGAAAGGAGCTGGAGAGAGGCTATCAGAAGAACCGCTTCAGGTCCTGGAACACCCTCCTCAGGAGCAAATCGCGCTGCTGGCTCCCGAGCCCCTCCTTGTCGGGCTCCTGTACACAGTTGTCATTCACTATGCTGGCAATCTTTCGGAGACTTTCCACGGATTTTACAAAAGCACTTACAGAACCAAGGAAGGGGAACTGAGGTATTTTTTTTTTCTCTTTTTCTTTTAAACTGCAAGTGCTGCCCATGCTAAATTCATTATTTCAGATTGTCTTTTAAAATTACCTTTGTTGTTGAACTTTTTCTTCAGTTTTGCTTTTGCATCTTCTTTATAGTGTTAAAAATGGCTTTTTCCCTTGCTTTTTGAATCTCATTTTAAAATTCTATTTTAACCAATTTTCTTTCCCCCAGCTCTATCAGAGCAAATATCTATTTGTTTATTTAGTTTGATTTCTGAGACATAATAAACATGTTTAATTTTCCTGACCTATGCATTAGTTTCCTAGGGCTGTTGTAACAAAGTACCACAGTCTGGGTGGCTATAAACAACAAAATGTATTCTCTGTCAGGTCTGCAGGCTAGAAGTCTGAAATCAAGGTGTCAGCAGGCCCGTGCTCCCTCCAGACTCTGGTAGAATCCTTCCTTGTGTCTTCCTAGCATCTAGTGGTGGCCGTGGATCCCTGGCACTCCATGCCTAGCACCTGCATCGTTCTAGTCTCTCCCTCTGTTAGTGGCATGGCCATTCCGTTTCCCTATGTCCCAGTCTCCATCGTCTTATAAGGAAACCGGTCATACCGGAGTAGGACCCAGCCTGGTGGCCTCTTCTTCACCCCATGATACCTGTAAAGACCCTATGTCTAAATAAGGTCTTGTGCACAGATACTGCAGGTTAGGACTTCAGCATATCCTATTAGCATCCTATTAGAGGAAATACTTCTAGCTCAGTTAAAACTTTTTAAGAGATCTCTACTCACCTTGCTTTGGTTCTGTTTTTAAGGAGGAGACTTATTTGAGAGAGATTTTATGCTAAGTTTAAAAATGGAATTTTATTTGTTAGTAGATTATACTAATTTATTTTTCAAATTCCATCTTATTCTATCAAGGTAAAAAAGTAAAATTTGTTTCACTCATAGCCTCCTGAACTAACTACTACTTCTATTTCAGTGGAATATTCTCCCAGACTTCTTTCTGGATATGCATATATGTTATTTTATATAAATGGAATTCTTATATTTTCTCTTTTATAAGGAAATTTTTTAAATTAGTATGTTGGGAAGATGCTTTATATAAATGACTATTACTAGGTATCATTTTAATGATTTTATTAAAATACATAGTTGTACGTTAATATCTTCAGTCCCTTGGGAATGGAAATGAAATTATTTCCAGTTTTTCAGTATCAACAACACTTCGATGAATATCTTTGTAAGTTATTTCTTTAGGATAATTGCCTAGAAGTAAAATTGGTAAGCCAAAGAACCTATAATTTTTTAATAAACGTTGTCATTTTTTCTTACCTCTCATCAATACTGTATATTGGCAGTCTTTTTAGAGCAAAAAAGGCCCCCAAATGATATCTCTTTTTAATTTACATAACTTTGATTAAGGAAGTTGAGCAGCTTTTGATATGTTTGTTAATGATTTGAAGGTTCTTTTATGAGTTGCCTGTTTATGATCTTTGACTTTGCCTGAGATTCCCTTGGTTGTTGGCGATTCTTTTTTATTTCATTTCCTTGGTTGTTGGGGATTCTTTTTTATTTTGTTTTATTTTACTTTATTTTATTTTTTGAGGTGGAGTCTTGCTCTGTCACCCAGGCTGGAGTGCAATGGCACGAACTTGGCTCACTGCAACCTCCGCCTCCCGGTTTCAAGCGATTCTCCTGCCTCAGCCTCCTGAGTAGCTGAGATTACAGATGCGCACTACCATGCCTGGCTAATTTTTGTATTTTTAGTAGAGATGGGGTTTCACCATGTTGGCCAGGGTGGTCTCGAACTCCTGTCCTCGTGATCCGCCCACCTTGGCCTCTCAAAGTGCCGAGGTTACAAGTATGAGCCACCATTGGGTATTCTTTTACACATTTTTAGGATCTCACTATCTGTTAAGGCTATTAAGTCTTCGTCGCATACTTCTTAAATGAATTTTCCCAGTTTTTTACTTTTTTTAAAAACTTTTTTTTGGAGACAGGGTCTGGTTCTGTTGCCCAGGCTGGAGTGCAACGACGCAATCTCAGGTCACTGAAACTTCTGCCTCATGGGCTCCAACCATCCTCTCACCTCTGCCTCCCGAGTAGCTGGGACTACAGGTGTGCACCACCATGCCTGGCTAATTTTTGTAGTTTTGGTAGAGATGGGGTTTTACTGTGTTGCCCAGGTTGGTCTCACACTCCTGGGCTCAAGTAATCCTCCCACCTCAGCCTCCCAAAAATGTGTTAGGACTACAGGCGTGAGCCACCATGACCATGCCCAGTCTAACTTGTCTTTTAACTTAGTTTATGATAGCTTTTGTGATGTAAAATATTTTTTAGTAGTAAAATCCATCAATCTTATAGTAACTTTAGGAATTATAAAGCCAACACCTGTTTTAGAGTTCCTGGTGCTTCATGCTCAATTTTTATTTCACTTGCCTTAATTTTAGGATACTTGCATCAACACAATTTGAACCCACTGCAGCTAGAATGGCCTTTCCCTGCTTTGATGAACCTGCCTTCAAAGCAAGTTTCTCAATCAAAATTAGAAGAGAGCCAAGGCACCTAGCCATCTCCAATATGCCACTGGTGAGTCTGCACTCCTGTGTATTTTCTACCGGAAAATCTACTGATTCTCTGTGACTTGCATTACCCCAGTAACAGTCCACATTGGGTCACTTGTTTTGTTTTATTGCCTGGCAGATCATTACTAACTTTTCATTTACAACCTGTGCTTTTGTTTCAAGCCACAGTTATATGTAATCAAAGTAAAAATTGCCCCTAAAAATGCAAGATTTCAGTAACAGTGCCATTCCATGTTATACATGCTGACAGGAGGGAAGTGGTATAAGAAATTCAGGTCAGGTTTAAATAGTAGTGCCCTTCAAAAAGCACTTTCACCCTCATTTGCTCATATGATCTTTTAAAATGATTTTAAAGGTAATGCTTTGTCAGGCCATATTTTTAGCATATAGTTATTTTCTATAATTTACATATACTATATAGTAATATTCACTATATAATTTGTAACTGAATGTACAAAATTGGGCGGACAGAAAAAGAGAATAAAAGTAATCTTTTCCGAATGTTATGGTGCTGAAGGTAAGTCATGATAGATAGCTTAGCTTCCCAAGAGAAATCATTATTCTCCAATCTCAATGCAGATGTGGACAGCATTCCCTCTGATTTTTAAAAGTGGCTAGAAGATGACCATGCCAAATGAATAAAACTGTTCAGTAAGTGCCATTATCCTTTGATTCTGGTAGTTTAGAAAAGCATCAGCTGGGCCGTCATTCTGCAGCTGGTATATAACACCTCCTGGAAGCACATCCTTTGTTCAGAGAAACTCACTGGAGATGAGACTCAGGGTAGAGTAGGCTTTGCCTAGAGTTGAGGGATGAACAACTTTGTCCCTGTGCTGACTGGGGAAGCAGTATCGTAGCATGGAGAGATACCAAGAGCCACAGACCGACCTCTAGTATGGTGCTTCTCAACCTTAAAACTCTATACCTACCTGCCTTCATACCATAAGGATGCCTTCCTCAAACAAGATTCGGATTTCCCACCCCCCGCCAGAGGGCTATCCTCTGTGCAAACCACTCTTCTGCAAATTTTCCTACCAGCCAAGAACTTTTGTCCTCACTCCCACTCTTGTATATGAAAAGACAATAAACAATTATGCTATTTTCCTAATATAAATTTAAGATACAGGATGTGCTTTTTCAGAATATAGTCCTCTCCCCCAGTATTGTGGCATGACTCCCTGGGACAGAAGTGAGTTCTTTAATTGGTGAATCAAAATTCTAGGAGAATAAAGGATCAGGGATGGGAAGGAGACAGGAGAGAGACTGAGGGACCAAACAGGATTAGTGGAGAAATTTGTAGGCTTTCAGAAAGCTCCAGGCTCCAGGAAGATGCTACAGTCTAAATCCATGGATATCCAGGATCCACTTATTGAAGATAGGAAAACTTCTTTTTTTTTTTTGAGGATAGGAAAACCTCTAATGCAATGTTGTCCCTTTGGACAGAAACGTCTCTCACTAACAGAAATCTAATATGAGTAGCCTGACCTCAGGCTGCAGATATTGAGCTCAGGGGAAAACAATGGGGTCTCAAAACATCTTTTTGGAGACCAGAAAAACAAAATATATACCATTGGGACATTGCAGCTTTTGGGCATGGGGCAGAAATTAATCACGTTTAAATTTGAATTAATTTAATCAGGTTATTTTCCTACTAATTAACACAACTCGAGAATGGAAATTTTTGGCCAGGTGTGGTGGCTCATGACTGTAATCCAGCACTTTGGGAGGCTAAGGCAGGTGGATCACCTGAGGTCAGCCTGGCCAACATGGTAAAACCCTGTCTCTACTAAAAATACAAAATTAGTTGGGCTTGGTGGCACATGTCTGTAATCTTAGCTACTCAGGAAGCTGAGGCAGGAGAGTTGCTTGAACTCGGGAGGTGGAGGTTGCAGTGAACCGAGATAACACCATTGCACTCCAGCCTGGGTGATAGAGTGAGACCCCATCTCAAAAAAAAAAAAAAAAAATTAAAAAAAAAAGGAAATTTTTGTTGTGGGTAGGCACAAGCAGAATGCATTTAAAAAGAAAAGATGATTTGGGATCCTTTATGAGTAATCCTAGGCTGGCTAACAGAGTTGGTTTGAATGATCAAATGGTGACCAGAAGTTGGTGGCTGATGGGTGTTAAGAAGGATGAGGGCCAGGTGAGGTGGCTTATGGTTGTAAAGGATTACAACCATACATTACAACACTTTGGGAGGCAGAAGAGGATTTCTTGAGGTCAGGAGTCCAAGACCAGCTGGGGCAACATAGCAAGACCCTATCTCTCAAAACAAACAAACAAAAAAAGATGAGGGCAGAGCAATAGAGGTGAGTATAGGATTACAGGAAAAATGCCCGTGACTGTGGTTTCACCTGGCTAATTCTGGCTGGTTCTTTTTCCAAGGTCTCATCTCCGTGCTTTTTATTGCTGAGGTGTTAGACTTTCTTCTTTAGGTGCAGACCTCTAAGACTGTACCTCCATCAACCATACCCCACCTTTACTCTCTGATTGCACTTAAAAAGGTGATTCCAATGAAGCAAATCTAAGTTTGGAAGAAGCTTTGCAAGAGCATGCCCAGGAATAGGTTACTTTCAATTATACAGAAGAACAGAAGCTCTTTTAAGTACTACAGGGTTATATATTTTCCCCGTTGCGTATATGCTCAACAGCTCGACATTGCATTGCCAGATAATTCTCAAACCTGTATTTAAGGACAAATAGATCAGCCATATCTTCGCAAAACTCACAATCTCGGTTTTGCTTCGTCTCATCCGGGTTATCAATCCACATATGCCAAATATTAGTCTGTTTGCAACCATCTGAATTATTAAAAGAAACTGAATATTGATAGTTGCACAACTTTATGATTACATTAAGAGCCACTGAATTGTAAACTTCAAAATGGTAAGTTTTGTGGTATATGAATTATATCTCAATAAAAAAGAAATTGAGTAGAACTGTTGGACCTTAATATCTAAATTATAATTAGGTATCAGAAAGATAACTTTTAAAGTAATTATAGAAGCGTCATTAGACAAGGTCTGCCTCTGTCACCCAGGCAGGAGTACAGTGGCTCAATCTTGGCTCACTGCAACCTCCACCTCCCAGGCTTAAGGCATCCTCCCACCTCAGCCTCCCCAGTAGCTGTGACTACAGGCACGCACCACCAGCAGGGCTAATTTTTGTATTTTTTTTTTTTGTAGAGATAAGATTTCATCATCTTGCCCAGGCTGGTGGCAAACTCCTGAGCTCAAGCAATCTGCCTACCTCGGACTCCCCAAGTGCTGGGATTGATATACTTTTAATATTATGTCTGATAATTAGGAAATTTCTCAAGTTCAGTGTATTACATAATTGGATTACTTGATAATTTGAATTATTCTGATTTTAGGTGAAATCTGTGACTGTTGCTGAAGGACTCATAGAAGACCATTTTGATGTCACTGTGAAGATGAGCACCTATCTGGTGGCCTTCATTATTTCAGATTTTGAGTCTGTCAGCAAGATAACCAAGAGTGGAGTCAAGGTGAGTCTGTGATTGTCACATATGGTGACCAACTTGTTCTGGTTTGCCTGGAACTGGTTTTTTTTTTTTTTTTTTTTTTTTTTGAGACAGAGTCTTACTCTGTGGCCCAGGCTGGAGTACAGTGGCTGGATCTCAGCTCACTGCAAGCTCTGCCTCCTGGGTTTATGCCATTCTCCTGCCTCAGCCTCCCGAGTAGCTGGGAATACAGGCGCCCGCCACCACGCCCAGCTAGTTTTTTGTTTTTTAGTAGAGACGGGGTTTCACCATGTTAGCCAGGATGGTCTTGATCTCCTGACCTCGTGATCCACCCGTCTCGGCCTCCCAAAGTGCTGGGATTACAGGCTTGAGCCACCGCGCCCGGCCTGGAACTGGTTTTAAAACTGGAAGTCTGGCTGAGCACAGTGGTTTGTGCCTGTAAACCCAACATAAACCCAACAATTTGGGAGGCTGACATGGAAGAATCACTTGAGGCCAGAGGTTTGAGACCAGCCCAGACAACACAGTGAGAACCTGTCTCTGTAAAAATAAAATAATTGGCCAAGCATGGTTCCTTGTGCCTGCTACTAGTCTTAGCTACTAGGGAGGCTGAGGTGGGAGGATCCCTTGAGCCCAGGAGTTTGAGGCTTCAATGAGGTATGATTGTGCACTCCAGCCTGGGCAACAGAGCAAAACCATGTCTCTAAACAAACAAACAAAGACAAAACCAAATAACGAAATCCTGGAAGTCCTGCATCCTGGGAACCTCCTCAATCTCAGGCAAACCGGGATGTTTGGCTAGCCTGTTGTCATGGATGCTCGTTTGTATAGTGAGGTTCTAATAACAACAACGTGGAGAGAGTGTGGCCTGGCCTGAGTCGTGATCCTGGCTTTACCGCAGTCACTTCACTGACTCTCTGACCTTGGCCCTATTCTCTCTGGAACTTAGTATTTACTTCTTTGGAAGGTATAACTTGGATTAGATCCTGCAATGGCCTATAAGGTTGTTTCTGGTTATGGCTTTCTGCAGTTTGGAAGTAAATGTTACTATCTGGCAGGGGATTTCTGGCTATAGTAAGGAAGATAGAGCAACCTGCTTGGAATGGCCAGAGGTTTTGGGCCAGGTAACACTGGAATGCTGGAGAGAAAAATCTTGTTTCAAGGCACACTTGTTCCTCATTTGGGTACCATTGCATAGTGGTCAACCAATACAACCATGTGCCATAGCTAGGAATGCAAGCTGGTTTTTCTGAGGGGAGGAAGGGATGCTTTGTTTGAAGATACCTTATGTATTTGTGCTGGATTTTACTGAGGTCTGAGTAGATGGGGATTCCCTGCTGAATTGCTTTGGGTTCCTCTAGTGCTGAGATTTCTTATTCTTGTGGAGGTATCTTTACTTACCTGGGGATTTGAAGGTGACGCTTGAGACTCGGATGAAGGGAACATTCTTAATTCAGCAGTGAAACTAATCAGCAAAAACACCTGCCCCTTGTTTTGCCACTTATCTGAATCTCTTAGAAATGATTATTTTAATAATGTCTAATCTATACTATTATTTTTCTTTCATTTCTGTAAACACATTAAGCATACATATTATATATCTGTGTCTGGTAATTGTTTTATCTGAAATCTTTGTGTATTTGATTTTGTGGTTTGTTTTTTCTGCTGGCTCTTGCTTATGGTATCTTGTTTCCTTGCTTGTATTATGAATTATGTTTGTGAGCTTATGTTACCTGAGTCTAAAGTGGATTATTCCAGAGAGAAATTGTGTTTGCTCTTGCAGAGTGTCTGGAAGTACTTATTGGTCCAGGGATCACTTTACTTGTAGTTTCCTTGACAAAGGGTAGTTATTTCTAGTTTACCTTTACATTAAAGGCCTGGCCTTTGGGTACTAGCTTTACGTAGGGGTTGTATGTCCTGTAGACTTTCTACTTTGGGCAGGCCCTGGACTTGGTCTTTTAACTCCTGAGTCCTTCAATGCCATAAGAACCAAAGCTCAAGTCCAGCTGTGTTGGGCTACTGCCATCAGGGCTAAAGCTGGCTGCAGTGCTCTCCTGACATTAGAGGGTCCAGCTGTCATTTTACTTTTGCCTCTAAATCTTGCTTTCTCATTTGCCATCTTATAAACACATTTAAGAAGACTTTATATATGTTATCCAGCATTTGTTGTTGTTTTCAGAAGGGGGATTAATCAGGAACAGTCAGTATTAATGCAAGAAATGGAATTCCCACTTATTTTCCTTAATATTGGCAACCATATCCCACAATATGAGGACATTAATGTCAGTCTTCTACACAATGTGGAGAGAAGCCACTTAAGATATTTGAATTCCTTTCTTGTGCCTTCCACTTTAGGTTTCTGTATACGCTGTGCCAGACAAGATAAATCAAGCAGATTATGCACTGGATGCTGCGGTGACTCTTCTAGATTTTTATGAGGATTATTTCAACATACCGTATCCCCTACCCAAACAAGGTAGAGATTTTGTACAGATACTACACATGACGTCATGACGTTTGATGAACACAGTCATAGATTTGTCATTTTAATTGGCGTATCCCTGTGGTTACCTCAGCAGCCCCTCAAGCCACAAAAACCCCAGCAAGTGACAAACCTGCAGTTGATCTTTCTGAGCATCTTCTCACCCTTGATGTGTACAGTAACTTCTAGTGATAGTGAAGAAGGCAGATCTTCATAGAGTTCCTGAGGCACATGGCATGGGGACTCTTTTGCCTTCTGATTTTATTAGTGGGCAGACAGCACAGGGAAGAGGCTACATTTTTCCTTACTGGCATCTGCTTGGCAGGAACACAGAGGATGCTCAACAAACTGTTTTGAATGAATAAATGTATATAGTGTAAGACAATCTGCATTTTCTTTCTTCCATGAGCCCTTAAAACTATTGTATGTTTGATTTTTTAGGTATATGTGGGTCTTGGGCGTTCAAAATAGAGTGGATTATTTTAATTGTTAAGTTTTTCAATTTCCAATATCCTCATCAGAAGGTTAGAAATGGAGTCAAGAGGCCTGAAGAGGCCGGGCACGGTGGCTCATGTCTTGTAATCTCAGCACTTTGGCTCATGTCTTGTAATGTCAGCACCTGGGGAGGCCGGGCAGGTGGATTACTTGAGCCCAGGAGTTTGAGACCAGCCTGGGCAACATGGTAAAACCCTGTTTCCACAAGAAATATAAAAATATTAGCTGAGTGTGGAGGTGCACTCCTGTAGTCTCAGCTACTTGGGAGGCTGAGTGGGAGGATCACCTGAGCTTGGGAGGTTGAGGCTGCAGTGAGGTGTAATTATGTCACCGCAAATGCACTCCAGTATGGGTGATAGAGTGAGAGCCTGTTTCCAAAAAAAAAAAAAAAAAAGGCCTGGGCTGCAAGTCTGACTTTGCCACATTTATAGCAAAGTGACGCTGAGTCACTAAGCTTCTTTTTCTCCATCGTGAAAGATTCTTCAGTCTAGAGTTCCATGATTATGCACGGTTAACTGGTTCAAATACCTATCCGTTCTGAAGATTAGTGTGTTTGGGGGAATGTGTAGCTTTGAGACTGGTAATGTATTCTATTACTTCCTTCCCAAGATCTTGCTGCTATTCCCGACTTTCAATCTGGTGCTATGGAAAACTGGGGACTAACAACATACAGAGAATCTGCTCTATTGTTTGATGCGGAAAAGTCTTCTGCATCAAGTAAGCTTGGCATCACAATGATTGTGGCCCATGAACTGGCCCACCAGGTATAAGCTCGCTCACACTTTTAAAAAAGTACGAATTACGATTATAATGCTTTTATGGGATATATAAGGCTATTTATATATTATAATTTTTATTCTGTCTTTTTTTTTCATAAGAAAAACTGTTTCTCCAAAGCATTAGTTTTTATGTCTTATAATACATGTTGACAGTTTTTTTATTTTTACCTTGATTAAATATTGGTCCTGTAAATATACGTTAACATTCATAAACTTATATTAGACATCTAAAATATACTTCTTTCTGAATGTCTTTGTTTATGGCTGCCAGTCTAGATAATAGGTATCCAGTCTCCATGGAAATGTGTGAATAAACTGAGACATGTTGTGTTTTTAGTGGTTTGGGAACCTGGTCACTATGGAATGGTGGAATGATCTTTGGCTAAATGAGGGATTTGCCAAATTTATGGAGTTTGTGTCTGTCAGTGTGACCCATCCTGAACTGAAAGTTGTAAGTAGTTATTTATCCTTTACATTTTAGGTTAATTTGTTGTTTTGTTCAATATTGCTGGAAAATATTTACTAATCTTTGATTATAGAACTTATAAAAAGATTTCATTGATAACTTCCTTGACAGTTTAGATATGAATCGTGTTGCAGAAATGCTAGTGAACTTTCAAGATATATCACAAAGACTTATTTACAAACTCAGTTGTGAATCTATGATTGTTTGTGAATTGTCCAATTTTATCTTTCTTAATATCAAAGAAATAGAAATAATGGCAACCTAAATGTTCCATTTCGTTTTCCCAACTTTCAGGTTGCTCATTGCAGAATTATTAGGTATAGATTGCTGATACCTCAATAGGACCCTACTTGCCAGATCAAATGAGTTATACTTAAGGTAACTGCACATTTGATTGTATAACAACCTAGGCTTCTGGGTCACAAATTTATTGCTTTGGAACTGCTATAGGGTTTAATTTTTAAATCACCATGTTTAACTTGAGAAAATCACATATAGCAAAATTAAACTTATATAAAATTTTTTTATCCTACTCCAATGATGCTATTATTTGTAAATATTTATTCCTATTTTCATCTGCCACATACATTATTTAAAATATACATTTGTGAATATTTATTACTGCCTATTTTCATCTGCCTGTGTACATAATTAGAAAGTACATATCAATATTGCATTATAATGGATCATAAATATTTTCTTATGTTTCTACATTATCTATAGTAATAAAAATGATTATGGATACGTATTATCCTATTGAGCTAATGTGCTCTAATAAAGCTGGTTAAGGTTCTCCATTTCTTTTTGTTACATGTTTTTAAAGGTAAATATCTTTGCTCTAAAACAGTACAGACGATGATTGGAAATGTTGAAATTACTATGCAGTTTAGTTTCTTGTTTTGTTGCTGTTTGGCTATAGGCATAATCGTTTCGTTTTTAGATTAATATGAATTTTTCTTTATTCTAAAGTATTTAAGATGAACAAAATCTATAATGTTTACCTAAAATCATTGTTTCTTGGGTGGTTTTTAGACTATATTAATTCTATTTTGTTTCATAAATATTAGGAAATATGGAATAAGTTGCCCCCAAAATGTGAAGTATGGACTTCTTGCCTCAGATAAAACGTCCCACCTTTGACATTTTTTATCTAAATGTAAATCATAGGTGCTGTTTTCTTTTTTCTGTCTCAATAGGAAGATTATTTCTTTGGCAAATGTTTTGATGCAATGGAGGTAGATGCTTTAAATTCCTCACACCCTGTGTCTACACCTGTGGAGAATCCTGCTCAGATCCGGGAGATGTTTGATGATGTTTCTTATGATAAGGTACATGTAGATTGAGTAAAAGCATACAGTTTGGATACTAAAGTTATACATACTGGGGTGGAGAAGTTATAGGGAAGGTTGTGGGGTTAAACCCACATTGAATGCCTTCTCTCTTGACATGGCTGGCTGGAGTTAACTCTTTTAGGCCTAACTTGCAGTTTGGCTCATAACCCTAAAGCCTATTTTATGGGAAATTCTTCATATATTCTTTCTTGGGTTGAAAATTCATGGCTTACAGAAACTCTGCTTTTATTTATCATTCAACAAATAGGTATTGATTGAGCATCAACTTTGTACTAGACAAAAATTCCTGCCCTCGTGTAGCTTACTTTTCAAGCCCTTCAGCAATGGTTAATATTGTTTTGATGCAAATAATTGTCTTGCACAGTGTGTTTAGTAATAGAGTTGGGAATTGTTGCCAACAGTTTAATGATTGATTGGGAGATTTTATGTAAAATCCAGATTTCTAGCTTCTCTTGGGGAAGAAAAAGGAGGATTTGTCCATGGTATTTCCTTTGCAGCATAAGCTGGAGCTAAGTTGTTGTTCTCTCTTTGTAAGATCAAGGCTCTGCTTTTCCACTTCCCCTACCATTCCCAACTGTTCTGTTGTCTTCTCACCGAGGCTGAGAATGTGTTGCCAGTTACCATTGTGCTTGGCTGTTGTTTTACTGGTAGCAAACAGAAAAGTCTTTCTGCTTGCATGTTTCCATTGAAAGTACAGGGGAAAAAGAATGTAAAAGAGCGTTCTTCTTATCCTTGGACTATTTCCTTTATTTATATGCCCTGTCATATGCCACTGGAGGCATTTGAGTTTGTGACTCGCCATCCGTGGTAATGGGAGTGGAGGGGAAAAGAGCCCTTTACCCAGGAATACAGGGTGTCTGGGAAGATTCTTGTTCCCTTTCTCCAGCTCCATCAGCCCTCCATGCTCAAGGCTGCCTGGGCTCCCTGGACATACCCACTTTTCCTTCCCTGGCGTCTACCTCTGCTTCCATCTCTAATGCTTCACCCCTTGTTGTACCGGCCTCTCCCTAGTCCTGCCCTGGAGTGGCAGTGGGAGAGCCAGGTAGTAGCTGAAGGTCCAATGTTTAATCTGTACCATTATCCACTCACATGTGAACAAAAGGAGTTGGCAGATGATGCCAATTTGCCCCATGAGGAGGTCTGGCTACTGATAGAAAATAAGGGCCCCAGTGGGCTCAGAGCATAAACAATCACATTAGACAAATCCCCTGCCTAAACAGGTCCAGGTTTAACCTGCTTATGCTGTTTCACAAATTGCCAGACATTAACAATGTTACTGCAGTTGCATTTTCAAAGAAATGTGTTTTATTGCAAAAGAATATGTGATTTCAGATGAGATTGCAACCAAACTATAGATAACAATTATTTCTATTATCTTTTCAGGGAGCTTGTATTCTGAATATGCTAAGGGAGTATCTTAGTGCTGATGCATTTAAAAGTGGTATTGTACAGTATCTCCAGAAGCATAGCTATAAAAATACAAAAAACGAGGACCTGTGGGATAGTATGGCAAGTGTGAGTATGTTTTTGAATATCTCTGCATTTGGGATTGACAGGCTCATCATCTTGTTTTGTTTCCCCAGAATCATCTTAATCCCTCTGAGGAGAATAATTGTTTTCTATAGAAATAAGAGTGATGTGTTTAGTTTTGGTTTTTAGATTTGCCCTACAGACGGTGTAAAAGGGATGGATGGCTTTTGCTCTAGAAGTCAACATTCATCTTCATTCTCAGTAAGTTTCTGTATCTGTACATGTTCCCCCAAGCACATTCTTTTACTACATATTCTTTGAAAGATTGCTCTGTGCCAAACTTTCTGAGGTCCTTGATTATATCACCCTCATTCCAGATAAGACTGCATTTAAACTATACAAGACTCATAATCTTTTTCAATTTTTCTTAAAATGTGTCTATACACGAGGGTTGCAGAGCTTTCCTTGGTAATGCTTCTCACTGATACTAATTTCTTCAGCTTCACTTTGTAAAGCAGTGAATTTATGACATTTCTATAGCAGATTATGGCTGCATTGTAGCAGTCAAAAGGATATGTCAGTCATTTCCAGAGCTCTGCATTTGTACAAAGACAATGGCACTGAGCATTCTTGAACACTTGCCATGAATCAGGCACATGTTAAGCACTTATATGTATTATCTCCTTTACTCTTCGTAATAAACCTGTGAGCCGGGTACTATTACTATCCCTATTTTTAAAGTTGAGAACATGAAATACAAAGACATTTGATTGGTAAATTGCAGAGCAGATATTTGAATTTAGATCTAACTCATGTTTTTAACTGCTAAGCTATAAAGTATTCATAACATCTAGTCACAAAACAGCCTGAGTCTCTGTTCATCTGGATTTGTGGGATGTTTTCAGAGGAAGCTGAGGGTGAGTCTGGAGATTCGACAGAATTTTGTCTTTCTTTTTTCTTTTTATATTTTTTACTTTCTTGGCCTTTTTTGTTCCTAGAGATTGCTTTATTCAGTAGTTTCTAGATTTGTCCTGTGGCGCATGTTATCTTTTTAGTGATACTCTTTTTTTTTTTTTTTGAGACAGAGTCTCAGTCTGTCGCCCAGGCTGGAGTGCAGTGGTGTGATCTCAGCTCACTGTAGCCTCTGCCTCCCCAGTTCCAGCGATTCTCTTGCCTCAGCTTCCCAGGTAGCTGGGATTATAGGCATGTGCCACTACGCCTAGTTAATTTTTGTATTCTTAGTAGAGACTGGGTTTCGCCTTGTTCGCCAGACTGGTCATGGTCTCCTGACCTCTGGTGACCCACCCACCTCAGACTCCCAAAGTGCTAGGATTACAGGCATGAGCCACCACACCCAGTCTTTACTACTTTTTAAATAATTTCTTAAAAGCTTTTTTAGTATTAAAAAACAGCTCCTTTTGAGTTCCCACTATTTGTTGAGTGTGGGTCATCTCCGTATCCTCACTTTGGAAACACAGGCTCTTGACTGAACATTGTTTCCACCTTGCTTGTCTGAAACCAGCATAGTTATGTAGGTATTGAAAACCTGGCACTTTCTCTCCCTTCTCCTCCTTCATTCATTCACATGCCTGCTTTGTGCCCAGTGTTATTGCCAGCCCCAAAGTGTGCCCGGCAGAACTAGGTATGCTCCCTGTCCTTTAGACACGTATGTGTAGTGGAGGAAAATGGCACGCAAACAGTTGGTGCTTTAATGGAAGTGTGATGGCTGGGAACATCACACTGAGAAAGGGATCAGAAAACACTCCAAAGAGGGGAGGTTGGCAACTGGTAGTGACTGAGCACAAGCTGGTGTTCTGTCTTTTCTTAGAGCTGGGTTAAGTGGGTGATGTGTCTGCTTTTTTGTGTACACACCAGCATTGGCATCAGGAAGGGCTGGATGTGAAAACCATGATGAACACTTGGACACTGCAGAAGGGTTTTCCCCTGATAACCATCACAGTGAGGGGAAGGAATGTACACATGAAGCAAGAGCACTACATGAAGGGCTCTGAAGGCGCCCCGGACACTGGGTAATGCTCATAGAGTAAAATTTGTTTTGTTGTCTAGATAACATCTGCCTTGTAGGATGGAACCTTGTTTTTGAAATAATGCCCTTACCGCTATTGCTAAAATATTTCAACTGCATCTGTGTATCCTATGAAGTTGACTTATACTCCCTGCCCCCATCTTCCCAAAAGGATTAAAGAGGCTTTAAACCTTGGTTTTTCTCAGTAAAGTTGATATAATTACTTTAACATTCTCATATTTTGTAATTTGATATGATGGTAATTTCTGGTTACTGACTTGAAATCAGCTCCAACCTAAGCAACTGCTACTAGATTACAATAGCGCCTAGCATTTGGTTGGAGCTGAGGACAAAAAAATTTAGGTGATTTCTGAGAATTATGAGAGACTCAGTTGTCTTCTTCTGAGTTAGATTTGTTCATCAGCTTAATGCTATAGAAGAATATTATTAGAAACAAGATGCTGCAACTTGATTGACCCTGGATGGATACCATTAAAAAATTATTTTATCTTGAAACAATTTCAGACGTATGGAGAAGTTACAAGAATAGCACAACAAATTCCTATATATCCTTTACCTAGATACATGTTAACCCTTTATTCCTTTACTTTCTTCTATAGTAAAGGATATATATATGTGTGTGTGTGTGTGTGTATACACTTCCCTCCCCCATCTTCCCAAAAGGATTAAGGAGGCTTTAAATCTTGATTAATCGATATCCATCTATCTACATAGACACCTATATACATATCTCTGTATGTATATACTTGGCATGTGTTTTTCTGAACTGTTTGACAGTAAGTTGGTGACATGATTCCCCTTCAAACCTAAATGCTTCAGCATAGTATTTTCTAAAAAAACAAGAACACTTATGGCCGGTCACGGTGGCTCACGCTTGTAATCCCAGCACTTTGGGAAGCCGAGGCAGGAGGATCATGTGAGGTCAGGAGTTCGAGACCAGCCTGGCCAACATGGTGAAATGCCATCTCTACTAAAAATACAAAAATTAGTCAGCGTGGTGGTGGGTTCCTGTAGGCCCAGCTACTCAGGAGGATGAGGCAGGAGAATTGCTTGAACCCAGGAGGTGGAGGTTGCAGTGAGCCGAGATCCCACCACTGCACTCCAGCCTGGGCGACAGAGCGAAACTCCATCTCCAAACAAACAAACAGACAAACAAACAAAAACAAGAACATTCACTTATATAACCATAGCCACAGTACAATTATCCAAATTGGGAAATAAACTTGATACAATACTGTTATCTATAAATCCCATTCAACTTTTTTCAGTTGTCCTAAAAATATCTTTAGAGCAAAATAGAAAATAAATTCTGACTTAAGATTTAATACAGGATCACATATTTTATTTAGTTGTTGCATCCTTTTGGTTTCCATGTTTTTCTGAAACAACTTTTTAGTCTTTTTTGGGCTTCTTGATACTGACATTTTTAAAGAGTACAGGTCAGTTATTTTATAGAATGTCGTTCAGTTTGGATTTTCTGCTGTTTCTCCATGATCAGATTCAGTTGATGTATCATTGACAGGAATCCCAAAGAGGTGATGTTTTGTCCTTCCTAGTATACGATTCAGGAGGCACATGACTCCTGAAGTTAGGCCTCTGAGATGCAATCAGCCAATCACTGTAAAAAGGCTTTCAGGGTTCACTTGAGTCCAAATTCTTAGCTCTACTCACGGAGTCCAAGAAAAAGAAATAGTGCCTGAGCTGACACTCCCTGCAAAGTTGGAAAACAGACTGGGGATGTTTTGAGAGCTTGGCTGTAGCAGTTTTGGTACTGTCTTGTTCTAACTAACCAGTGCTTGGCACATGATAGGTGATTTAATAACTGCTTGTTGAATTGAATCAACAAATGAACAATCCATCTCTCCTTTCTTTTAGGTACCTGTGGCATGTTCCATTGACGTTCATCACCAGCAAATCAGACATGGTCCATCGATTTTTGCTAAAAACAAAAACAGGTAATTTATTTTGGAAACAACCAGTTTAATTCAAGGAGGAATGTGAAAATGTGTAGGGTTAAAATGCTGTTTCTTTTGCTGTTTATCTCGGTTAAAGCAAAAGGGATCAGATTGGAAATACTTTCTGGTTTCAAAGAAGAATGGCCAGTATCTTGCCAGATAGAGATTATAGTTGAATTATATAATGCTAAAAAGGAGGGATTACCAGTGAACATTCCCTATTACTTTGTTAACATTACTGTTTTATATCATATGTATGGCCAGATACGTAGTTGCATTCTTTTCATAGATCTAGAAATCTCACAAAATTGATGTCTAAAGCTAGTGTTAGCTTTTGTCTATTGAGTTGCTGTTTTCTGGTTTCTGAAAGAAATAAGTGATGATTTCAGATTGTTCAGTATTAAACTCTTCTCTAATTTCCTTGCCCAGTCTCTGATGAGAAAAGCTTTCATCAGGCAAGGGAGCAAATGGAGCTTTGATTTATTTTATTTACTCTAGATGTGCTCATCCTCCCAGAAGAGGTGGAATGGATCAAATTTAATGTGGGCATGAATGGCTATTACATTGTGCATTACGAGGATGATGGATGGGACTCTTTGACTGGCCTTTTAAAAGGAACACACACAGCAGTCAGCAGTAACGATCGGGCGAGTCTCATTAACAATGCATTTCAGCTCGTCAGGTAATACACGCTGCACAAAGTCTCGGTTTATTTCTGAAAGCAGATGTTATTGTTCAAATTCTTGATTTCTAAAGACAAAAATGATTGATTGACAACAAGAAGTTGAAAGGTGTTTTCCTCCAAGTTCTTCTAACAACCCAAGATTGCTTTTAGCCTTATGATTAATCTCCTGTCTGTGACTACTAAGGCACTTGAAGGAAGGAATCTGTATCTTAATCTTTCTCATTAACAGTTTAGATCATACTGAGGCAGAAGTGTAGATAACCAGGAGATCAACATCCTGGCGAAACTCCTTGCCTTGTCCCTGCGGTGGCGTGGTCCCTCAGCTTCCTCTGGCCCTGCTATACCGGATCAGGTTTCTCCCATCACTGGGTCTTTAACAGCCTTGAAGGCTTTTTAGAAGACTAAGTGACACAGGCCCAAGTTGTTTGCATTATATTTCTTGGATTAAAGAAGGGATTTTTGTTTTCTTTCCTAAACCAGATACTTGAACTTTGCAGTATCTTTATGGAATATAGCCCATAAAATGTAGCCCAACCAAATGATCTCTGAGTGTGTGAGGACAGAATTAACACTACCCCCTCTTTTTTTTTAACCCCCATGACAACGGTTTTTAAGGAAATGCTCCCAAAGCCTAAAACTCAAACTTCTTCAACATGTAGGCAGATCTCAAGTCCTAAGAGGAAGCATGCAGGTGGGAAGGATTCTCTCTGTTTCTCCTCATACCTATATCCTTCTGGCCTAAATTTTGAGTGCCTTCTGGTTCTTCTCACCACCATACTGGGCCTCCTGAAGTGAGAAAACGCAATGGGGGAGAAAGTTAAGGGTTGCTTACCTAGCTGTTTCTTTCTGCCTAAAAAATTCCCCTCTGTAGAATATTTCTGCTTGAGCCGTAGAGGGCTCTTTCTTTTTTCTTTTTTTTAGCTTATATAATATATACCCTACCACTGAGGTTTTTAACACTAACCCTTTGTAATGAAGGGTTTCTAAGGATATGCAGTGTCTTTTGAAATGGAGAAGAAAATGTGTTTCCTCCAGGGACTCATAGTTTTTACCAGATGATAGTCTGACCAGACTTCCTAAAGGGTCTTTGATGGAAATCCCTTGCTTACCCTAGAAGTTCAGCACACAATCCAGTGTTTCACAGGGACAGATGCTGATGTGCTTCCATTCCGGCTTATCCACGTTAGCCCTGGATGTTACTGTTTGAGAAACTTCCTCCCTAGTGTAAACATGCCAGATGTTGTGTTACATGTGATAGAAAAGAGACTTATATAGTAGTTATCTATTTATTTATTTACTTATTTATTGGAAATGGAGTCTCACTGTGTCGCCCAGGCTGGAGTGCAGTGGTACCATCTCAATTCACTGCCTCTGCCTCCCAGGTTCAAGCAATTCTTCTGCCTCAGCTTCCCAAGTACCAAGTACCTGAGATTACAGGCACGTGCCACCATGCCTGACTGTTTTATGTATTTCTAGTAGAGACACGGTTTCACCATGTTGGCCAGGCTGGTCTCGAACTCCCAACCTCAGGTGATTCACCCGCCTTGGCCTCCTAAAGTGCTGGGATTATAGGCATGAGCCACCGTGCCTGGCCGTAGTTATCTATTTATAAGTAGTTATCCATTTATATCTGATTGCTTGTTTTGCTAGAAGACTAAAATATATTTTGAAGCAAAATGTTGACTTCCTGGATTTACTTTTAAACTACTAACCACAGTGTCTCTTGTTCAGCATTGGGAAGCTGTCCATTGAAAAGGCCTTGGATTTATCCCTGTACTTGAAACATGAAACTGAAATTATGCCCGTATTTCAAGGTTTGAATGAGCTGATTCCTATGTATAAGTTAATGGAGAAGAGAGATATGAATGAAGTGGAAACTCAATTCAAGGTAAAAGCCTAAAATAAAATAGTTATGTAATTACTATTTCTTTTGTGTTAAAAAGAAATCGTGTGTGTGTATGTTTGTGTGTATCTTTATATACATATTAAGGAAAAGCAAATAAATATTAATTCAGTATTTAGATGGATTAGCAAAAATTTTGGTTTTATTTGGCACCAAAAATAGAAATGGCATTCTCAGACTCTGCTTAATTTGCATGGATTTGTTTTTTCCTTCCTTTCACAAACCTTTTATTTCATTTTCCTTTCCTACTATGATGGCTGACATTCAGATTTTCTGGGACTCTTCATGGTACTTGAGGAAGAGGCACAAAATTGTTATTCTTGGCAAAATGTCATGAAGTCTTGTTGCATAATTTGCTCTCAAAATTTAGTCATATAAACTCTAAGTTTGTTTTAAAAGTGGCAATTCATCCTGACTTTAAGTAGATAGGATATCTTATAAAAGTTTGTTATGAAAATATGAAAGTCATTCATCATTATTTATTGGTTTTGACCCTTTTATAATTAAATATAAACAGTGCTGCATGATTTATACAGTAAAAGTTAGATTATGCTTTAAAAATTAGCCCCTATCATCTGAGACCATAATGGATTATATTAACATGAAATGACCTGTGACAATACTAGTCCCTGTTCCTGTGTGCAATGCCGTCAGGCCTTCCTCATCAGGCTGCTAAGGGACCTCATTGATAAGCAGACGTGGACAGATGAAGGCTCGGTCTCAGAGCGAATGCTGCGGAGTCAGCTACTCCTCCTCGCCTGTGTGCGCAGGTATCAGCCGTGTGTACAGAGGGCAGAAGGCTATTTCAGGAAGTGGAAGGAATCCAATGGAAACTTGAGGTCAGTCCTTACTGAATAACCACTTTGTTGATGTGAAGGGTATCTTTTCTGTTTTCTATCATTGGTACTAAACATTAGGGAAAACAAAAAGTATAAGTGTCTCCCCTGCTGCCCTGTTTTGAAAAATAAATTACTTTTTAAGATTTATCTATGCATCTCTCAACTTTAAGAAATGCTAGGAGGGAACTTCTGTGCATAAAAGTCAAATATCTGGGGAGTTAGGATGGTATTGGAATAATTTCCATTTTTGTATAGGCAATGCAAAATCGTTTTCAACTGTGACAGCCATGCCATAGAGAAACACAGGCATTGTATTTTATAGAAGCTTCTTTGGGCTTCTAAAGTCCCTGACAGGGATGCATAGTAATTGCTGATGCTGTCTAAGCAAGGTAGGATTTTACCATATCTGGAAATCCCTATTCAGCTACATTTCAGTCTTTTTACATTTGGAGCTTAAACCCCACCCAGGAAACATTTATGCCAACAATCTACATGCTTCAGCTTAGAGAAATCCAAACAGTGGTCCTACTGCAGTCCTGACTTGTGATCATGGTGTACATTTTGAATATAGTTTGAATTTCTTTCTTTTGGCTTGAAAGGTGATCCCCTATGGAATCACCCAGCATCATTAAAGTATTTAAATATGTAGGTATTTATAAAAATGGCATTTCACATTACATTTTTGAGAAGGCTACTTAAAACCTAATTTTAGATAGTTTTCTCTTGCCTTTTTTTTTTTACAAAGTGTAACTGAAGGAAATCGGTAGCTTTTGTTTATATTTTCAGTTATGCTTCTCTGATCATGGGGACAGTTTAGCAGTTCATAATTGGTCACCATTATGCCTATAAACATACTTACTGCATCTCAGATTCTCATCGTGTGTTGCTTTCTATAGCCTGCCTATCGATGTGACCTTGGCAGTGTTTGCTGTGGGCGCCCAGAGCACAGAAGGCTGGGATTTTCTTTATAGTAAATATCAGTCTTCTTTGTCCAGTATTGAGAAAGAACAAATTGAATTTGCCCTCTGCACAACCCAAAATAAGGAAAAGCTTCAATGGTGAGTCAGTCATTCATTCATGTTCATGTGGCCAAGGGAAATTAGATTAAATTAGATCATTCTGGCATCTATTTTTGTTTTCTTGGCCAGGAATTGTCTATTCTGCTGGGAACATACTGCAAGTCAGCATACATCTAATGAGAAAGGCAAATAATTAGGGAGAACCAGGTGTCAGGAAAAATATTTAAAGGCATATACATTTGTGTATCTTTAAAAAGACAACATATTTAAAATATTTACTAGAGCTACTCTTCCTTAACTATTCTTTTGAGCAAATGAGAGGGTATATGAGAATACTATATAAATGTTAGTTTTTATTATATAGCTATAGTGGGTTTATCAGGATTCTGGTTACCCATTTATCTTTTTAACCTTTGTTATTGGCAGACTTTTTTTTTCTTTTACAAGTAATTTTATTGCCGTGATTCATAACTGTTTCACCACCTATTCATTGCTAACATTTCTTTTCTTAATCCTTTCAGGCTACTAGATGAAAGCTTTAAGGGAGATAAAATAAAAACTCAGGAGTTTCCAGGAATTCTTGTACTCATTGGTAGGAACCCAGTAGGATACCCACTGGCCTGGAAATTTCTGAGGAAAAACTGGAACAAACTTGTACAGAAGTAAGTGGTGCCAAAAATTGTGCTGTGACTGGATAAGTTCATAACCTTACTGTGTTTCAGCCTTGTTGTTTGTAGAAGAACAATAACAGTCTAAAGGTACTTTTTTAAATTGAAGATAGGCAGTAGAAGTACTTAAAGTATTTGTAGAAAATATAAAACTGGAATTCAGTGCTAATTTGTGAATATGTACAGGGGTATTTTCCATTCCATCTGGCATAACCCCTTCCTGAGCCCATGGACTTATGAAGCCTTTCTCCTCAGAGTTCAGCCCAGGCCTTCCACGAACACATTTGCTTGTTTGCATCTGTCATTGTCTAACTCTTATAGCACTTCCTGCCTGTGTCATGTTCTGTTGGATACTTAACTTTTTATTAAGCTGTTGATGTGTATTATTCTTTAGAGCTAGATCTTTACACATTGGATAGACATCATATTTTATACTTTCACACCCATCAGTTTTTAGTTAAAAGGTATTATATATAGGAGGCCCTTAAAATATATGTTAAATGAATATTTCACAACCCATTTTTGAATATTTCCCTCTCTAGGTTTGAACTTGGCTCACAATCCATAGCCCACATGGTAATGGGTACAACAAATCAATTCTCCACAAGAACATGGCTTGAAGAGGTAATATATATATCTTTTTAATCATAAATGAAAATTAGCTAATTAATATGGGGTAGACAAAATACTTTGAGAGTGTGGTGAGTTAGATATGGATTTTGTCATTTAGAAGTTATTTTTGGATGGTATGGTACTGACGGCAGCATAAATCAGTGGCAATTAAACTAGTGAAAACTGCCTCTTAAGACATGTTAAGAGGTCTTAGCTCTGCCATTTAAAACCTTAGGACTTGAAGAAAAATTACTTGAGACAATTAGTCCCTGTTTAAGGATGTTAAAAGTGGGCATTGAGGTATAAATGACTGAAGTGGTCATCCAGCTACTGTTAAAGAGGCAGATCTGGAATCTAGGTTCTTTATAAACCATCCAAGTTCATGGTTCCCTGTCACTTATTATATAACCATCTACCTTCAGACAGAATTTCAGGCAGCTTTAAGATCCATGTATAAAAGAAATGTTAAAATGAAGGACAAAAAGATACATAATGGACAGGTGATAACCATGTGAGGGACTTATGGCTGAGGATAATTCTCGCAATTGTCCCCTGAATTTATCACAGAGATTCCTAGAAGTCAAGGAAAAATGAGGAATCAGTACGAGTTATTCTCATTGTCTGGTAAAAGAGAATATGAAGCATACACGTTTTCTACAAAAGCAGACTTTTCTTCAGTCCTAAACTCAAGGACTTTGATGTGTGGGCCATTGAGTTCTGTGGTGTCCCTTCTATAATAAGGTTTCATATAGTAAAGTTGTAGAACAAATTTTACATGGCTCTTAAACTATGGTACGTTTAGATAAAAGCTGAGAGGCTAATATTAACTTTTTTAGGAGTGGTTCCATTGTGTAGTCTGGTTATACTATTTTCTAGCTTGAGATGGGGAGAGAGCTTTGGAAATGGAAAAGAATGAAGGGTTGTTACAGTCTCGTAGCTTTTTCCAGTTTTCAGTAGCCTCATCCAGGCTTGTCAAATTAACTTGCATATAATAATTCAACCTTGAACTCCAGCGAGGTCTAGAGCAGAGATATTCTGTGTGGTGACTGAAGAGCTGTCCAAAGACTTGACCAGAAAGGTAGTCATCCATAGACAAGATCTATAGCAACAAAGCATTTCATTCATTCATTTGTATTCATTCAAGACATATATGCCACACATGGTTTTAGGTTATGTGGCTGTAACAGTGAACAGACAGACAAAACCTTTGCTGTCATGGAGCTGAAATTTCTGCTGTGGGAATCAGACAATTATAGACAAATCAACTGATGTCAAGTAGTTACATGCTCTGAAGATGAATAAGGCAAGGAGAGGGATTGGGGTAGAGGGTTGGTGCCGTTTTATAGGATGATTAGGAGACATTTGAGGAGATATTGAAGGAAACGCTGATATCTAGAGGAGTATTGTGTGCAGAGGAAACATCAGGTGCAAAGACCCTGAAGCAGGGCATGAAAATTAAAGAGCCTGAGATGTTATCATAATGGAGAGCAAACTATGGACATATAAAATATAGGAGTCATCCTGAGTCCTTCCTTCCCCACACATCTAATTACGCAAGTCCTGCTGGTCCTCTCTCAGCACATGCACTGGATCTTGCGCACATCTCTCTGCTCTTACCCTCATCCAGTCCTTTCTCATCTCTTGCCTTGCCTATTGCAATAGTGTCCTAACTGGCCTCCCCCTTGCCACTTTGCCAATAGCAAAACATTTTCCACATTTAAGACTGCAAGTCAGCCCATAACTGACCCTGGCTTCTTGAACCCTGCCTATTGTTCTTGCAGTAAATTCCAAATCCCTCCTTCCCATGTGTCCACGACCTTGATGACCTGGCTTCTGAGGACCTCTCTGGTACCAATTCCCACAGGCTCTCCTGGTTTACTCTCTCACAACACTGCAGCCACTCAGTCTCCTTCTGTTCCTAGGCTACCACTTGGTTCTCCTGTCTTTAAGCCTCTGCACTTTTTCTTCTCTCTGCCTGGCTTTTCACTAGAAAGTATTCACCAACTTTTCACTAGAAAGGGGCATTTTATCTTTGAGAGGTCTCGGCTCAAATCACCTTCCCCAAAACCATGCAGTTCAATGCAGGCCACATCTCCCCAGTTACTAGCGTACCCCTGGCATATTTTCTTCATAGCAGTTTATTTACAGTAATCATATTTACTGCGTGTATCCCCCAAAAGACTGTAAACTCCATGAGGGGAGGATGCTTGCCTGATTCACTGCTGCATCCTCAGTGTCTAGCATGGTAATTACAGCAGACAGATGAATAAATATCAGAGTAAATATTGGTGAACAAATGGATGAGGTTAAGTCCCTGATACATGCTGGGTTTGGGGTTTTGCACTTTACCTGCATTATATAACTACATCCTTCACCACTGCTCTTCATTTTACAGATGAGGAGACTGGGTTCCATGAAAGTTAAATCATTTGCTCAAATCAAGTTAGTAGGATAAACCTGTTTTCCTATCCCTGTATTGTGCCACTTATTGCACAGAAATTGTTCTTGAAGAGCCAAGTCTGAATCAAATATTCAGTTGAGATGTTGCATTTCCAAGACAGGTGAAGACAGAAGAGATGATTTTTGGGTCAGGACAAGGGTAAGAGTAATGGTTAGCAGCTGGCTTCACTGTTGTAGAAGGTCTGTTTTTAGTGGAGCTATCATAATGAGCTCCTTCAGGAGTAATGATTTGAGCAATTAGTAAGGTTATTGATGTGCTTTGACTGTTGAATAGTGCTCAAAGTGATTTTTAATTGACTGTGAATTAATCTTGTGTTCTGAGCGTGTATGAAGCAGTAGGTTGAGCTACAACTTAAGGTAGACAGTGGAGAAGTATTTTCCAGGTTGCTACAGCAGGAGGCCATGCCTTCTGCTCATTGAAAAGTTGTACCGTATTGACATATAATTTTAAAACAACTCTGCATCATTTAAAATTGAAATCTTATCTTTCTAAAACCCATTCCTACTCCCCTCTTTTTCCCAAACTAATAATATGGTATTATGACATGGATTTCTAAGGAATTGACTATCTGGAATCTATGCTGAATAAATAATACATCTTGGCCTACATTTGCTTCCTGGATACCAAATCAAAAATTGATGGATTAATGCTGTGAAAATTTATGGGAAAAGGGTCATAACCCTTTAAGGTGAAACAGAATCGCACAATGGCCAATCCTGTGGCAAAGCCAGCCTATCTGTCATGTGAGCTCAAGAGGTTAAGATACCCAGAAATGAAACAAGAACAAAGATATTTTTCAGGAGATAGACAAGAGTTTCTTATCTCTTTAAAATCATGGGGAACTTTGAGACAACAATACATTAATTGTAGATTAGGTTAAAAAAATTTGGCAAGGTTTGGGTTTTACCACCATAACTTGCTAAGAATCCCATTCCCCACAGTGTTTCTATAATAACATACAAGGCCAGGCCCATGGAGGAAGACGGCACTTACATGGTGGAAACTGTTTTGCTTGGCAAAGAAGAGATGGCACATTCTGCTTTTTAGATATCATGTTTTTAAAAAATGAAGTTTGCATCTGTGAGTATAGAACAGAATAACACATTAAATAGACACAATTAAACCTTAATTATAAAATGGTAAACAGTGAAGTCTTTTAAAGTCTGGCAGCTGGGAATAAACAAAAGAACTGCAGAGAAAAAACACAGAACTTGACATCATGAGGCATGAGCTCATTTCATACAGCTTATGTGTACATAATCCTATTCAGACAGCTGGGACTGCCTTCTATATAGAATTTTGACAAATGCTGGAATTTTGGCTTCAGTTTTAACTAAAGTTACATCTGGTTAATGTAATAAAATTAATTTTTTAAAACTCACTTTTTCCTCACAAGGTAAAAGGATTCTTCAGCTCTTTGAAAGAAAATGGTTCTCAGCTCCGTTGTGTCCAACAGACAATTGAAACCATTGAAGAAAACATCCGTTGGATGGATAAGAATTTTGATAAAATCAGAGTGTGGCTGCAAAGTGAAAAGTTTGAACTTCTGTAAAAATTCCTCCCTTGCCAGGTTCTTGTTATCTCTAATCACCAACATTTTGTTGAGTGTATTTTCAAACTAGAGATGGCTGTTTTGGCTCCAGCTGAAGATACTTTTTTCCCCTTCAACTCATTTTTTGACTGTCCCGGTGAAAAGATTGGCTGTTAGTTTTTCATGAGTGGGCTATCGCTACCATGTGTTTCATTCATCACAGGTGTTGCCCTGCAATGTAAACCCAAGTGTTGGGTTCCCTGCCACAGAGGAATAAAGTGCCTTATTCTTCTCATTTTATATTTTACGGTTAAGCCCCCCAGTGTCCAAAACCCTGTGGCCCACATTTGTCTTCATAAACTGTTTCATCAATTTCCTCGAAAGACTGAATAGTCGACTACTGAACAATGAATACCTGGATCCGAGACTAAGCCAGATGATGGCTGGGTTAAAGCTCTGGCTCTCCCCGCTGACCCCTCCAGACCCGCTGCCCACCCCTCTTTTCCTTGCTCCATGCCCAGGAGCTGACTTGTAAAGGCCAAGTCCTCAAGCTTCCTTGCCCTTTGGATGTTGGTTAGTGGGGAGCCAGAGAGCTGGAGCTGGGGTCAGAGGAGGTAGTAGGTGTTCTTCCCTGATTCCCTTACTGGATGCCTCGGGCTGGCATCCCCTGAGGGTCTTAGCTCCTGAGAGGGGACCCTCTTTTCCACACAGCCTTCTCCACCTCTGGATTTTGGTAACTGCTCCCTCCTCATCCCTTCAGGATCAGGGGCCTCAGTGGGAGCCTGGCTTTTACTAGTCCTGGCGGGACTTGTGGTTTCCACATAATGTGCTTGTACTTTTGCAAAAAGTCTTTTTATAGAACCCCCCTCAGATAATTCTGAGTGTCATCTATTTCCCTGACTGATACAGTATCTCTTCTGAAAAAGCAGAGTGCATTCAAGTCTGTAGGAAAACCCTTTTCTTAGGGAGGTGATTCTTTTCTCTCTCTGCTTCTTATTTGGCCTAGTTTACAATTTCTAAATAACTAGTTATTGGCATTTACTGACAGTAAATTATTGCAGGGTCACCAATAAATGATAGTACATTGTGAAACAAAATATTTGCTCATATTAGCAAATAGGACATTCTTTGGCTGTGAAGTCTTTTTGTGAAGACTTCACACACAGTTGCTTCAGCACACAGTTGCTGCTCAGGTTTTATGTATAGGTAATAGAAAGCACAGTTTACTAACATGGTAAACCAACAGAGTTCAAGTCAGATAATACCCTAAGAATTAGATTTTATTTCTTATTCTGAAAACTTGCTACACAGGGACTTATCTAACCCACAGTGTGCTGTGTTGCTGACTTGATTAAAGTTGCAGCGTGTTTTGTGCCGACTATAAGGTGCGGAAATCCTCACACCTGGCAAAGAATTCAAACTGAACTTTTTGAATATAAGGCAGAAATTTCAAGATACGGGAATATGATTGATATGAAAAATGTCAAAATGTGGTCCTCTAATACACGACAGAATAGAGTGACTTCTGGACATAAATCTCCAATTTATTAAACCATTCACCACAACAAATAGGTATAAAAGTGGAATTGGAATTTTTATACTTGTTTGTTGTAGTGAATGGTTTAATAAAAATAGAAATCACTGGTAATTTCCACCCTTTTAACGATTTCCCTTTAAAAAAAAATACACAACCAAGATTTTAATGTAAAATATTTTGCTTTAATTTTATTTTATGCCTTGATTAGTGAAACATGGAAATACTGATTTTCAGTTTTGGTCACCTGAGGAACCTACCTTCATTTGCTTTTGGAAAAGCCCATTTTCTAAACAGATACAATGTTGCCACAACAATGTGCAGAAAGCTTTTTGGTAATAAAAATTGTTCTTTGCCTCTAAGTGGGTATTTGCAATTATTTTCTCCTAACTAGATTGTAAAAAGGGCTGCTTTAGATCCTGTAGCTTACTCCAGTTATTAGTTATTAACAAACACCCAAGTTTTGAAGATATTTCTAATTAAAAAAGAAGGCATATTCAGAGTACCTTAAATAAATGTTTACTTTTATAGGCGTCTTTAAACTTCTGGATTTTGGTATGCCATTTAAAAATACTTCTAGATACGCATGGAAATTAGTAATACTGCAGCCATATCCTTGCAGACACATCTGTCAGTGTCAAAGGCTTCAAGATTTTTCTTAAAAAAAGAAAACAAAAAAGCAAACACCTCTACTGCCCAAATGGGAGGATTAGATACAGTTAGAAATCCCTCAGGAAAAGTGTTTTTTCTTTTCTTGTTGCTGCCTTAAAAATAGAATAATGACTATTTCTGATGGACAGAGACATAGCATTTTAAGCTGGTGGAGTGTGAAATCCCACAGGTATGTGCATGACTTTCAGAGAGTTATTTGGCGGGGAGGTTAACAAGATGTGGTGCCATTTACAAGCAGTGTTTTACTGTTTTTGCTTGCCCCGCTGCCACAAGTCAGCTAAGTCATAACAAAAGCTTCAAACTGATGCTAAGGAAGGCCATGCCCTTTGGAAACAAGAAATTCCCAATCTGTTTTATGTTATGTTCCTGACATCTTTTCCTGCATTCACTACCAGGAAATATGGATGAAATTAAATATCAAAATTCTAATCGATGATATCAGTGCAATGTTCAGGAAATATTCATTCAGAAAGATCTGAGAAACCATTCAAAATGGTGGGACATCAGAACCTACTTACACTGCTGTGGGGGAAATGCAGATTTAAAATTATATATATATATATATTTTTAAAGCAGAAGTTTCTTTTTGTATTTGGTAAACGTAGGTTCCATAAAGCCAGATGCTATACAGTGCAAAGACTAATGTGGCAATAGTTCTAAGGACAAGTTGCTGCTCAGGTTTTATGTATAGATAACAGAAAGCACAGTTTACTAACATGGTAAACCAACAGAGTTCAAGTCAGATTAATACCCTAAGGATTAGATTTTATTTGTTATGCTTGAAATTTGCTACACAAGGACTTATCTAACCTATATTTTGCTCTGTTGCTGACCTGATTCAAGTCTCAGTGTGTTCTGTGCTGACTGTAAGATGCACAAGTCCTCACACCTGGCAAAGAAGAGTTCAAGCTGAAAAGGGGTTTGGTGCTTCCTGGTTTGTCCAGGTTACCTGTTATTAATTTATTATTAGCAGCCCAAGAGGAGATATGTGCCCAATGTACAATATCTTATGTTTGACTTATAAACATTATCCCAAAGCAACATCAAATACAGTTCAAAAGCCCAAGAGGAAAGGGGGTAATAAGAAATCAGAACATTGAAAAATGTTTAAAGCATTGTTTTCCAAACACTAACAAAAAAATTAAGTGCAAACTAAAAATACAAATGAGATTTACAGGCACTGTGTGTAGAATGTGCAAAAATTCGCTTAGATTTTCTTTTGTTTTTTTGGTGTTGCTTTAAGAAACTTTATCAAATATATTTATTACAAATATAAAGCTTTCTTTCTCTCCCAATTGAAGGCAATTAAAAAAATTCAAAGTTTATCAATACCCAGTACAATAACACAGGTGAACCAGTCAAATTCATTTTCTTTCTGGAAAAGAAAAACAAACCAATATTTAGGATGTTCAAAGGCTCAACAAAAACCAGTCTAGAAATCACCCAGAACAATTGTTTTGTTGCCAAAGGCTTTTGTTCTTCAAAAGTCACCATCCACCAGCTGAAGATTTTATATGCAGATACCTTGAAAAATTCAAATAAAAAATGCAGTGAATCATTTAATATGTAATTTTCTTGTTACAGGCATAGTAAATACCACTTAGCAAAAGCATTGTATAACAGACAAGAAGGAATTTCCTATAAGTAAACATGAAAGTGGATTAATAGAATTTTTTTAATTTTGGGAAAAATGTTAGAACAGTTCTAACTAATAAAGCTCCTTTTTTTTATAGGAAGTACAGATAGATCATGGTGAGAGAGCTGAACTCGATTTAACCTATACTTGATTTCTTTTACGCTTTGGTCAGTAAGTGCTTGTATGCTTTTAAGGCTTACATTAAGCCTTCTCCTTTCTGAAGATTAAGATAAGGGCCCAGCTCTGAAGATCTCAGAAATTCCTTCATCTGTCCAATTTCTTCAGTAACCATAAATTAGAGTCAGACACAGTACTTTACTTTCCAAAATAATGACAAATAAAAATGGCCAATTTTTTCCTTTGCCCTTGTTCCCAAAACCCTGTAATTTCCACCCGACTCTAAAGGGTACTTCTCCCCACCCCACCACGTACTGGTATTTTGGGGAATACCAATATCTTCATGACATTTTGCTAAGTTGTAACATGCTAAATTTGCTTTGCCACAATAACCTGCAGTAATGAGCATTTGGATTTCAAAGATTCAGCTAGCCTCAGATGGTCATTTTAAGTGCCTGGCCTAATATTTTAAAAAGCTTTTAATTACAAGATTAAGGTTTTTAAACATTTCAATAGCACAGTCATCCCATTTAGTGCTTTCGAAGAATGACCGATTACTCTGTAGAGCTTGCAGTATGCATTTCATGCCAACAGTGTAAAGTGAGCATGAATTACTCGAGGTGGACTTCACTTCTCTCCTCTGTAACACATGAACTGGCAGGAGGTACAGTTGTCTTCATTTACAAATAAACACCCAACTTACCAGATACTTTAACTTGTATTTCTTTCATCATCTTTTGGCTTGGAAGTTTCCTCTGTTGTCTAAAAGGGAAAGCAAAAACCATCCGTGAGCTCTTTCTTTTCTGTATTAAGTATGAGGAGACAGCCTTCTCAGAATTAGGGGACAAAAGGTGGCAGTCAGTGGGGAAAAATAAGATGGTCCTTTCAGTTTCTCTTCTTCATTTGGCCAAAACATTGTGAGTTCTTCCTCCTCAAGTTTATTAGCTAAAAATAACCTTAAGTGATCCTGATCCTCAATGTATCACTCTCAGCTTTATTGTTT